GAGGTAGATAGAGCACCAGCCCTCGAGTCAGGAGGACCTGAGTTCATTTGTGGCCTCAGAGACTTACTATGTGCGTGACCCTGGGTAAGTCACTTAACCCCAATGGCCTTCAAAAAAAAAAAAAGAAGAAGACTGGAAAGGTAGGGAAAAGTCAGGTTATTGCTTTAAAAGCCAAACAGAATCTTGAATTTTATCCTAGAGGCAATAGGCAACAACTGGGGTTTATTATAGAAATTATATTATATATATATATGTTTATAAATTATATTATGTATGTATTACATATGGTTAGACATGTGCTTTAGGAATATTTATTATCTAGCTAAGAGGAGGATGGATTTCCAAGAGGAGAAACTTGAGGAAGGGAGACCAACCAGCAGGCTGTTAATAATCCAGACTTGAGTTGATGATAACCAGGAAAGTGGTAGCATCAGAAGAGACAAGGGGTAAATGAGAGGTGCCAGGGAAAGTAACCAGTTAAAGCAATAATGAAAATGAGAGAGGAGAGCAGCAATTGGTGATAAATGGGGGCAGGGTCCCAGAAGAGCCATTTCTTCCTCTGAGCCTGAAAGTAAGGAAAGGATGAGAGAAGACAGAGCTGCAGCAAAGATGTTCCTGTGTGATGGCTTTGGGCTTTTCAGTAAAGGATGGTCAGGTCACTTGCTGGAAGCTGGCTTTGGGAGCGTGATTAAAAGCGATGAAACTGACTTTCATATAAGTTGAATATGGGAAGTGCTACCACTGTGGTGCAGGCCCTCATCACCTCACTCCTGGACTACTGGTCTCCTGCTTCAAGTCTCTCCCCACTCCAGTCCATCCTTCACTCAGCTAACAAACAAACAAACAAAAAAAGCTTTTTAGCTCCCTGAAGCTCCAGTCTGACTATGCCACTGCTCTATTCAGTAAACTCCAGGCTCCAATATAACATCTTCTGTTTGGCATTCAGAGCTCTTTATAACCTGATCCCTTCCTACCTTTCCAGTCTTCTTATACCTTACTCTGTGATCTCTGTGACAATGTTCCCCTTAACTGTTCCTGGCAAAACATACCCCCTCCCCTGACTCTGTATTTTCACTGGTTGTCTAAGCCAAGAATGCTTTCCTATCTTATCTCTACCTCCAGGATTTCCTGAATTCCTTCAAGTCCCAACTAAAGTTCTACCTTGTACAAGAACCCTTTCCTGATCTCCCTTAATGCTAGCATCTCTATTCTGTTGATTATCTACAATTTATCCTATGTATAGTTTGTTTGTCTCCCCAGTAGACTATGAGCTCTTTGAGAGTGGGAATTGTCTTTTGCCTTTCTTTGTATCCCCAGCATTCAACATAGTGCTTGGAACATGTTATTGTTGTAATGGAGTCATTTCAGCTCTGTCTGCCTCTTTGTGACCCCTTTTTGGGGTTTTCTTGGAGAAAATACTGGACTGGGTTTGCCATTTCCTTCTCTATCTCATTTTATAGATGAGGAAACTGAGGCAGACAGAGTCAAGTGACATGTCCAAGGTCAAACAGCTAGCTAGATTGGCACTTAGGTCTTCCTGCCTCCAGGCCCTGCACTCTATCCACTGTTCCACCTAGCTGCCTGCGTGGCACATAGTAGATGCTTAATAAATGCTTACGGATTTGTTGATTGATTGCAGTGCGATAGAGATTTAGATTATGGTAGTGCTTGGAGCCTCTTCTGATTAACTGGTGAGTTTTGGAGGAAAAAGTAGGTGAAGAAAAGACATTCTTCTTAGTGGAATGTTTCCCATGTTCTAAAACTGTAAAGGGCAGGTGCTAAGGGAAACCTCTGCCCCTTCTTCCTCCCTGATCTGACATGAGAATTAAAAGTAAGTAGATATGAAACCACTCAAGAAGAAAAAAAAATCAGTGTAGAGAGGAGGGTTTTTTTCTGCCAGCTCTCAGAAGGGGATGTCACATAGGTGTTTGGTATATTCCCTGACTATTTTTGTTTATTCTTGTGCTGTAGAGAAATATTGACGTAGACTTAGCTCAGAGTCTCTTGGAGTGTTCCAAAAAGACGTATAGACAGAGACAGTTAAAAAAAAAACATTAAATCAGGACACGAAGATAGTGAGGTACTTATATGGTGTTCAGGTCAGAGAGAGGGCATTTTAGGAGTGGAGTAGGAGGGAAGCATGAGAGTTGTTTATACGATAGTGGAAACATTGGGGAAAGAACTATGCAAAGTCCGTGTTTGGACTAGGTATCATAAGGGCAAATGTCAGCAGGAAGAAAAAACATTGGACTAAAACTCGGAAGATACTGAATCTAACCTTTTGTCATTTATTGCCTGTATCTGTCACAGACTAGGCATGTGACTTTGGAAAATCTTCAGGGCTGGGGAACTTTCAGCCTTGAGGCCACGTGTGGCCCTCTAGGTCCTCAATTAAGGTTCCCTACCTCTGTGTCTAGCCACTGGCCTCTGGTTCCTTCTCTGCAGAAAGGCATGGTTGGGTTACATCAAGGGGTTTTAACTTTTTGGGGGTCCTAGGCCCCTTTGGCATTCCGGTGAAGCCTATGGACACCTCAGAATGTTTTTTAAATGCATAAAATAAAACATATAAACAATTATGTTCAAATTCAACTACCAAGACATTTTTGAAAACAAGTTCACAGATCATAAATTAAGAGACCCTTTGGTAATCTTTATGGTCTCTTACCTCTAAAATTCTGTAATTAATCCTATAAGGCTTCATGGAGGGGCTGAAATTTTAGGACCTGTTTGATGGGTAGACAGCTTGGTGACCTAGATTGGAGAAGACTTTTTTTTGGGGAAAGCTGTAGTGAAAATTGATAGGCAAGGGGCAGCTAGGTGGTGCAGTAGATAGAGCACCAGCCCTGGATTCAGGAGGACCTGAGTTCAAATCCAGACTCAGACACATAACACTTAATAGCTCTGTGACCCTGGTCAAGTCACTTAACCCCACTGCCTAGCCAAAAGAAATTGAATAAATTAATTAATTAAGTTTATTTTTAAATTAATTTATTAAATTTAATTTTAAAAAAGAAAATTGATAGGCAGGTGTAAGGCAACTGGATGAAGATATAACCAAGAAGATCAGAGAAACTAAGCTGTTTTATGATGACATATAGGGAATCATTGCATTTATGATGAGATATAAAGAATCATCTCAGATATTACTTCAGGCACTGTAACATAAGTCTCTGAAGCTCAAAGCTAGAGGAAGGCTTTCAGACCTGATTTTCTGGGTCACTAGAGTCATTCTAAAACCCCATGCCATCAGGGCAATGGGAAATCAGGACTTGAGATAATGGGTAGGGGCCAGGTTGATTTAGGCTTTGGGGAATGGTGACCATTTGGAACTGTGTAGTCACAACATTAACTCTAAGTCTGAGAAGTAAAAGAGCTAGTGTCGACAGATGGCTAAGTGGAAGAAAAGCTTCAATCTTTAATTAGAAAAAGATAGTCTTAGGTATCGCTCTTAAGAAATATAATGCATACAATATCCATGAGGGTTTTCTTCTGCTTTTGAATGCATGTCTTTTGATCATGTCCCTTGTGGTCTGCTAACAATTTCTCAATAGTTCTCCATTACCAGAGGCAGACAGGTGGTGCAGTGGATAGAGCACTGGCCCCAGAGTCAGGAGGAACTGAGTTCAAATATGATACTTACTGGCTGTATGACCCTGGGCAAGTCACTCCAATTGTTTAAAAAAAAATAGCTCCCCATTGCCTACTGGATATCTTTAGGTATTGCAGTCACAATATTTAAGAGGAAATAAAATGACCTTTTTAAAAATATGTTTTGTTTTTTACCAGTTTTCATTCCCTTAATAAATAATGTAAATGATTCCTTCCTATGTACCCTCATCCTGCTATTTAACAGCATCTACATTCTGGCTCAAACTATCTTTCCAGTCTTATTCCAGAGTTATTTTATACTTTCCTCCTACATATGCTCTACATTCCAGTTAAACTGGCCTACTCACCATTTCCTATTCTTGTCCTGTCCTCTCTATGGCTTTGTTCAGGCCGTCCTCAGTCCCTGTCCTTAGAGAATTTACTGTCTACTAAGTGGCACCTTGGACTTTAAAAGAAGAAATTTCAACAGGTAGAGATGGCGGGGAGTCTCAGGGATGGATAGCATGAATATGTAAACAGTGTTGTGAAGGTTGGAGGGGAGAATCTAGAAGCAAGAAGATCAGTTAGAAGATGTTTATAATAGTCTAGGCGAGAGATGATGATGAAGACCTGAAATAGCGTAGGAAGAATTAAGATACGGTTGTTAAGAATAAGCAAGAAAAGGCACTTAATTGTTCCTAGGTAAATATATATTCTTTAAATCTTACTCTGATTGTTTAGGAATGTTTTTTAGCAGGTATACTGATTAGCAAATTTTATGCTTTGTTTTGACAGTTTTGTTTTAAAGAGGCAAAACATAACCTTAGACAGGCATGCAAAGTTAACTGTGATTCAGTCAACCATACCTTATGGGAAGCCAGGCTGTTTGATCTATGATTCTCTGGTTTAGACACCACTGTGATCACTCATGATAAAAATCAGTAACCACACACTTGGAAATGGAATTAAATGAGCTGGAAGGATCCTTTGAAGCCCAGTTGAGTCCAACCCACTCATTTTGCAGAGGAAGAAACTGAGACTGGAAGAGGTTCAGTTACTTGCCAAAAGGTCATCTAGCTAAGCAAGTGGTAGAGATGGCAAAGTGAAAAGCCCCCTCAATTTGTGCCTTAGCTTTTCCATAAGTCTGTCATTCAGAAGGATTATTCTGCTGTATTGTTGGAAGGAAGGAATGCACATCCTCTAATGGTGAGGATTGGGTCAAGGGGGAATATTTAAGAATGGGGAGATAGATATAAATATTGATGTACGTGTGTGTGTGTGTGTGTGTGTGTGTGTGTGTGTGTGTGCGTGTGTGTGTGTGTGTAACCTCCTGTGGGGCTGAATTTTGCAATAGATGACTCTATCTCTGACCATTTTTTTTTGGTTTGTTTTTTTCTTCATCTCCCCCGCAGGATGAGTTGGATCTCACGGACAAAAACAGGGAGGCCATGTTTGCACTGCCGCTGGAGAAGAAATGGCAGATCTACTGCAGCAAGAAGAAGGTGCTCTCTCTACTCTTCCTACCACCCCCCTTTATTTCTAGTCTTTGAGTATCAGCTATTGGGACGGACTTTCTTGTGCAAGGATATTCATCCATGCCATACAGATCCATGAGCACAGCAAACACATCTATTGAGGTCATATACTACGGATGGAGAGGCAGAGGATAGAGTGCTGTGGCTGGAGCTAGGAAGACTCATCCTCCCAAGTTCAATTCTGGCCTCACACCCTTATTAGCTGTGTGACCCCAGGCAAGTTAACCCTATTTGCCTCAGTTTCCTCATCTGTAAAATGAGCTGCAGAGGAAATGGCAAAGCACTCTCGTATCTTTGCCGAGAAAACCCCAAATGGGGTCATGAAGAGTTGGACATGGCTGAAATGACTGAACAAAAACCACTGTGGGGGGGGTGTAGGCCTGGGTTGGCAGGGCATGGGGAAGGAGAATTTCTGAAGTATTTTTGTTCCAGTCAATCAACAATAACCATTTATCCCTCCTCTCAAGGAGCTCACATTCTAAAGGGGGAGACAAGTATATATGAATGAATGAAACATTTATTAAGTGCTTACTATGTGCAGAGCACTGTGCTGATCTCTGGAAATCCACATAGAAAATTAAGATCGTTCTTGTCCTCAAGAAGCTCACATTCTAATGGGAGAGATAGATAGATAGACAGATATATATATATATATATATATATATATAGAGAGAGAGAGAGAGAGAGAGAGAGAGAGAGAGAGAAAGAGAGAGAGAGAGAGAGAGAGAGAGAGAGAGAGAGAGAGAGAGAGAGAGAGCCATAGACAGAATAAATATAAAGAAAGTAAATACAAGTAGATTAGAATAGAGGGTAGCAGCAGGTGTTTGTGTGTGTGTAAGGAGATCAGTAAAGGTTTTATATAGAGGATGGTACCTAAGCTACATTTAGGAGAAAGAGAAGGACTTTAGGAGGTAGAGTAGGGAATGTATTCCAGGTATGAGGGATGGCCAGTGCAAAAATACAGAAAACAGGAGATGGCATTCCATATATGAAGAGCAGAGATATCAGTGTGGCTGGGTCACACTGTGAGAGGGAGAGTAAAGTCCAATGACTCTGGCAAGTTAGATTGGGCAGGGCTTTAAAAGCTGAGCAGAGGAGTTCATATTTGATCCTACAGGCAATAGGGAGCTACCAGAGTTGATTAAGTAAGGGAGTGATATGATTAAATCTATGCTTAAGAAAAATCACTATGGCTTCTGTGTATTAGATGGACTGGAGCGAGGAGTGACTTGAGTCAGGAAGGCCAATTAGGAGGTTATGGCTGAAATATCAGAGCTAGTGATGAGGGTTTGAATTGAGGTGATACGTATTTGAGCATAGAGATGGAGTAGAGGGTCAGCTAAGTGGCACAATGGGTAGAACACCAGCCCTGGAGTCAGGAGGACCTGAGTTCAATATGACCTCAGACACTTGACACTAGCTGTGTGATGCTGGGCAAGCCACCTAACCCTGATTGCCTCGCCGAAAAAAGAAAAAAAAAGAAAAAGGAAAATGAAAAAAGAAAATGAGATGGAGTAGAAACAGCAAAAACTGGCAGTTGGTTGGATACGTGCAGTGAGGGAGAATGAAGAGTTTGAGGATAATGCTAAATGTTCTACTCTTAAATTATTGAGCTTCACTATATGTTGTCAGGAGAACAAATACCAATGCATCCCTGCTTTCATGGAGGGATATTCGGATGGTATAAATAGATTTTATATATACTCTTAACTCCATCATGTAGGAAGGTAACACTGCTTGCAAATGAGTAAAGTAATGAGCTCAGTCTGGGACTTAATTTGTTTTCATCTCTCATTAACTTTCATTGCTATTTTCTTTTTCTTTTTTCTATGTTTCTTTCATATCTATCTCTTGGTCTCTCATTCTTCTTCCCTGCCTCCCTCCATCTTTTTTCTGTCTGTGTATTATTTCTTTTGCCTATTATCTCTCTTTCTGTCCTCTATATTTTCATTACTTATCTAGCTCTGAGGAAAACATTTTGTAAATTGTAAAGCACCAGATGATTGCTGTGACTATTTTTTTTCCTTTCATCTTTGTGTCTTCTCATTTTCTGGCTTCCTCTCTTCCTCCAGACCTCAGCAGTAGTCATAAGTGTGTTAATGCCAGCTTGGAGGGAAGCCTCTAAGTAGAATGCCCTAGGAATCTGTTCTTGGCCTTGACTTGTTCAACTTTTTAAGTCAGTTAATTGGGTGAGGCATAAATTGCATGCCCTTTGCATTAGTTGACAAATAGCTAGGAGGTATAACTGCCATATTAGATGGCAGTCAAGGACCAAAAAGATCTTGCCAGACTGGAACAATGGACTGAATCTTATAAGATAAAATTTAATAGAAATAAATCTAACATAGAGAAATGTAAAGAAATAAATGTTAAGCTCTGCATTTTACAAGTCAACTGAACAAGCACAAATTGGGGGAGTCATGGCTAGATAAAAATTTCTATGAAAAAGATCTATGGATTTTAATGAATTATAAGTTCAATCTGAATCAGTGTAAAAACAACACCACCAAGAAAAAAAAAAACAAAAACTTAATTCAATCTTAAACTGCAGTAATAGAGAGTGATGGTTCCCATGTAGTGTGCCTTGACCAGACCACATCTATAGTATTTGTTGTGTTTAATTATACGTGCCACATTTTAAGGAACGTGTACATATATAAGTACATAGAATGTTTATGTGTATATATATATATATATATACATATATGTGTGTGTATGTATATATATATATATTCATATATATGAGTTCATACAATATAATATAACATATAAGTTCATAGAATGAATTTTGTATATGTATATAATATACATATACACACATATACACACACACACACATATATGTATGTATATATATATATATATATATATAAAACTAAATAAAAGGTATTTAGAGAGGGAGGGCATCACCAGAAGTTGAGACAATCAGGAAAAGCTAAGTGTAGAATCTTAGAGATGAATCTTGAAGGAAGTGGAGGATTGTATGAGGCGGAGGTAAGTAGGCAGTGCATTCCAGGCAGGGCTGGAAGACCAGTGCAAAGGCACAAAGATGATAGATAGAGTGACGTATATGAGTTACAGAGAGATAGCCATTTGGCTGTACCCTAAAGTATAGGAAGGGGAGGAAAGTATAATGAGGCTGGTCAAATAGGTTGGGGCCAGGTCTTGAAAGGCTTTAAAAACCAAACAAAGGAGCCTATATTTCATTCTAGAAAAAACTAGTGAAAATTATAGAGGGAGAGAGATAGAGACAGAGACTTTTAGGCCTGATATAAGGAAAAACTTGGTAAGAGTTAGAACTGTCCCAAAGTAGAGTTTTTTGGCTTGGGAGGTAGCGAGTCACTTAACACTGTTTGCCTCAGTTTTCTCATCTGTAAAATGAGCTGGAGAAGGAAATGGCAAACTGCTCCAGTATCTTTGCCAAGAAAACCTCAAATGGGGTTATGAGGAGTCAAACACAACTGAAAAACAACTGAACAACAAAGTCATCTTTTAACAGAAGTCTTCAAGCAAAGGCTGTATGTATTTGAGGGGCAGGGAAACAGTTCTTGTTAACATATGGGTTAAATTAGGTGGTCTCTGAGGTCTTTTGAACTCCGTGATTCTGTACCTTGCTCAAGGATACATAGCCAGGTCCTAGTCTCCTGAAAAACATTTGCCTTTGGGAAACATAGGGGCCTGGGAGTTTGACAAGACAAGGCTTCCAGGAAGCATTTACTCTCGGTATTTGTATCTTTGATCATATAAGCAAACTATGTGTTCAGGAGGGACCTGGAGAAAGCATCAGTAGCTCTTTAGGTTTTTCTTGAGTTCTGCCTTATCCATGAAGACTTTCTAGAACTTGCCTTAGGATAATAATAGCCTTTGCCCTCCAACCTCACCTAATACTTCTTCTGTAACTTTGTAAGACATTTATTGTGTAATAATCTATACTCAAGGCATTTGTATCCGTGTCTTATCCCCTAATATTGTCCCACCCCCAAATAGATTAAGTATGAGCTTCTTGAGAACAGGGACTGGATCTTATCTAAAGATTGTTTCACCTCCAGTGCCTAGCATAGTACTTTGCTCACAATAGGCGTTTAATAAGTCTTTATTGTACTGTATTCTTTTCCCAAACCATGAATCCCCAAGTGAAGTTACACCAGATCTTTACTTTGTTTCAGGAACAGGAGGATCCCAACAAATTGGCGACCAGCTGGCCAGATTATTACATTGACCGGATCAACTCCATGGCTGCTGTGAGTAATGTCTTCTTGTTATTTTTGAGGAAGTCCTAAAGGTTTTCTGAAGAGCTGCCTACCTGGGCTCCAGCATTGATGGTATCCAGCCCGTCCTCCACCCTAAACAGAATGTCTGTCCTTGTCTACCCCAAATCCTTCAACATGTTTTGTAACGCTTGCCCTGCCTCAGCTATAATGTCTCACATTTCTATAGTACTGATATTTTATAGTGTTTTATGAACCACTTTTACACAGTCCATCAATAAGCATTCATTGATAAATGCTTCCTATGTGCCAGGCATATAGGCATTATAGGAATTTCTCTGAATTAGGAGATTCAGAGAAAGGCAAAAACAGTCTCTGCCTTCAAGGAGCTTATAGTCTAATGGGGGAGACAGCATGTAAATATAAGATAGATACAGATGGAAGGTGATCTAAATGCGAAAGCATTATCTGTGAGCTATCCTGGATAGAGAGAGGTAAGGGAGAGGGGTTAATTATAATGATAAAATCTAGCATTTGTGTTTAAGGTTCGCAATACACTTTTCCTATGGTATCTCTTTTTATCCTCACACAATCCTATGAGGTAGGTGCTGTTATCCCTATTTTACAGATGAGGAAGTTGAGGCTGAGAGAGATGAAGCGACTTGCCCAGGGTTATACAACTAGTAAGCATCTTCTGAAACAAACTTAGATTTTCCTGACTCAAAGTCCAACACTATATGTCCTCCACCTTGCTGTGTAGGGCCAAGGCAGGTAGACAGAGTAACCCTTCTCTCCCCTCCTCCACAAATACACACATCCTCTTCCTTCTGTCTGCTTTCCCAACAGATGCAGACTCTGTATGCCTTTGATGAAGAGGAAACAGAGATGAGAAACAAAGTGGTTGAAGACCTGAAGACAGCTCTTCGCACTCAACCCATGAGGTAACTGAGTTCTCTACCTGGATCTCAATTCCCCTGGATCCAATTCACTTCCCATGCCTTCACTTCAAGTTGGGTGGCTTTACAGCATTATAGTATCTTCTCCTTCCTTCCTCCCTCCCTCACTCCAATCCATTCCAGTCCAGTTCCATTCTTCTCACTCTACCTCACTTCATACCATTCCAACACATTCTATTTCAGTTTACAATTCTTTGGATTTCTTGAGGAGCTGGGTGGCAGCCAAGGCTTAGGGCCCAGGGCTTAAGGGGTTGAAGAGGAGAGAAGCCTTAGAGGGAAAATTACAGTAAACCACAGATCCATGAAGGGCCATCTTGGGAGAAGGGCAGAGTGGCTATTTTGGTTCCTTTGATGGATAGGACAATAGAGAGAAGGGAGCCAGGTTAAAGATGGAAAGGCCTTTCTTAAAAAGGGCTAAGCCTCGACGAAGGGGTGAGGCAGGTTTCAGAGGCTCCTCTGGAGGATTTTGTAAACACCTTCCCTACAATGAACCAACCAATGAACCATATTAGATTCCAGGCCTTGTTCTAAGCTCTGGGAATACAAAGGAGGTAAAAAACCAGTCCTTGTCCTCAAGGGACCTACATTATAATGGAGGAGACAACATGAGACTAAATGAGTGCATACAAGCTATATACAGAGTAGATGCAAGTCAATCTGAGAGGGGGAAGAATTAGCAGCTAGAGTGGGGGTGGGGTGGATAGGAAAGGCCTTCTGCAGAGGAAGAATTTTGAGCTGAGTCCAGAAAAGCCTGGGAAACTAAGAGGCAGAGGTGATGGAGAAGAGCATTCTAGACATGGAGGACAGCTAATGCAAAGACTTGGAGACAAATAGTATTATGTATGAGGAGCTATAAAGAAGCTGGTGTGAGGTAGGGCTCTTCCTGAGTTAAGAGGAAATAAATAGATAACTCATTGAATGAAGGCCAGCCTGAAGATTCTGTGATGCATAGATGAGAGTTTTCTCTTTTTCTGCGTTAGACAGGGGGCCAAGCAGCTGGGCCTGGGTGCGAAGTAGGGGGTGTTATGTCTTCCTTGTGTGTGATTTCCTCTACTGAGGTCCTTGACTCCTGCTGCCTTTCCTGTCTTCATCTCCTTGAATTTCCAAGATATGTCTGTTCTTATAGCTGGTGTGGTATAGTCAGCAATAGGAGGAGAGACAGAAAAGAAAGTGAGGGAGTGAGAAGTGAGGGGCTTAAATGAATAATCATGACCTCTCATTTCTCCTTCCCAGTGAGCCTATTGTGGGAAGAGGGGTAGTAAGGCACAAAATAACCGTTTCCCCCTTCCAACCAAGAGATCATAAATACACAGATAAAGGTAAAAATGTCTTCAGAAGTTTATTAAGCTTAGCCCTGTTTGGAGAGAGCCATGTAATTTTTTTAAAGATTTCTTGAAGAGATGCTTGAGCTCCCATGGAGCTCTCTCCACTATCATATACCACATCACTCTGATAAAGTCATTCCAATTCTCTTGTCTAACCACGTTGCCCTTCTCTAACAGTATCTTCTTCTTCTGTCTTTGACAGAGGCAGAGGGGAGTTAAGGGTTGGAGTAGGTAGCATTTAGTAAACCTAATTACTATCCTCCTCACCAACATGTGATCAGTTAGTCCACAAGCATTTCTTAAATGCCTACTTTGTGCCATCTGAGGCACCATGGTAGGTGCTGGGGATTAAAAAAAAAAGATCAGTCCTTTTCTTCAAGGAGCTTACATTCTATCAGGGGAAATAATATCTCTACATAGTTGGGTGTTGTCCTTTGTTCTTGAAGAGGACCAAAATGACACCATCATGTTGGGCTCAAGGTACAGAGCGTCTGACCATAGTGGATCAGATCAATGAAACTCCACCACAGGTTGGACACAAATATCCCATATGAGCATACAAAATAAATATAAGGTAATTTTGGTGGGGGGATCCTAGCCACTGGAGAGATTCTTTTACAACCTTATGTAAGAAGAGGCATTCGGGCTAAACGTCCTTTTATTGATTGCATGATAGTAAGAAGGATAGTAATTAGGATTACTAAATGCTACCTGCATCCCATCCTCAACCATTTCTATAAAGGACAGAAGAAGATACTATTGGAGGAGGACAGAGAGGCTAGACAAGAAAATTGGAAGTATTTCATCAGAGTGGTATGGCATATAGTAGTGGAGAAAACTCCATGGGAGCCCAAGCATCTCTTCAAGAAATCCTTAAAAAAAGTTAGATGGCTCTTTACAAATCTTAAAGGAACCTAGATATTCTAAGAAGTAAAGGTGAGGAAGCAGTACATTCCAGGTATGGGGAGTGGCCTCTACAAAGAGACTGAAGATAGAAAGGCACATGTAAGAATCATCAAGAAGGTCAATTTCACTGGACTGTATAGTGTGTGGATGGTAGCAATAGACCTAAAAAGAAGGAGATTGGAACCAAGCAATCGATATTTATTAAGTGCCTACTATGTGCCAGGCACTGTGCTAAGTTCTGGGGATACAAAAAGAAGCAATGACAGTCCCTGCTCTCAAGGAGCTTGCAAGCTAAAGCCGGGTTATGAAACAGAAGGTTGCTATACAAATGATAGGATGACAGGCAACTGATGTGTGAGTGTGATGTACTTGGAATACAAATTAGGCCTAAACATGGCGTGAAGGTTATATAGAAAATCAGTAGATATTTATTTACTGAAAGGCTTCTATGCATACCAAATTGGTACCAGTGGTAGGTGAGTATCAGGTAATAGACATGTGAAAGGATGGACAGCTAGGTGGCTCAGTGGATAGAATGCCAAGCCTGGAATCAGGAATACTCATCTTTCTGAGTTCAGATTTGACCTCAGACATGAACTAGCTGTGTGACCCTAGGCAAGTCACTTAACCCTGTTTGCCTCAGTTTCCTTATCTGCAAAATGAGCTGGAGAAGGAAATAGCAAACTGCTCCAGTATCTCTGCCAAGAAAAGCCCAATGGGGTCACAAAGAGTCAGACAAGACTGAAATGACTGAACAGTAACAACAGCAAAATGTGAAATAATATGGTAGTGTACCTTGCCTGCTCTCATAGTCTTTTCTTCCATTCCACACTGCTCCTCTTATTCTCACCCCCTCCCCAGATTTGTGACTCGATTCATTGAGTTGGATGGGTTGACCTGTCTCTTGAACTTCCTTCGGAGTATGGACCATGCCACCTGTGAGAGTAGAATCCATACATCCCTCATTGGCTGCATCAAGGCATTGATGAACAATTCCCAGGGCCGTGCCCATGTGTTGGCACAACCTGAAGGCATTAGCACCATTGCCCAAAGCTTGCGCACTGAGAACAGCAAAACCAAGGTGGCCGTGCTTGAGATCCTGGGTGCTGTCTGCCTGGTGCCTGGTGGCCATAAGAAGGTGCTTCAAGCCATGTTGCACTACCAGGTGTATGCCGCCGAGAGGACCCGCTTCCAGGTGAGGGATAGAAGAACAATATGAAAGTCACGCACAGAGCTACACAAGGATGATATCTCGGTGGGGCATTTGGGTTGTGGGTCATAAACAAAAGAACTGGAGCAATGAGGAACCTTATATGGAAGGAATTGGGGCATGCATGGAGATAGCATGTGGATAGATGGGATGAGGGACAAATGGAAGGTATTGTATAAAGAGTACAGGGATATATCATCCAGGTGAGGGGACTTGGGAAAAGAAGAGCTAATACAGGGAAGGGGTGGACCAGAGATGTCTCCGAGAGGTTGACCAGGAAAACAGGCTACTTTTACAACTGTTGGTTAATAATAGTAACGATAATAATAATACAGATTTCAAAATATCCTGAAAAATTCAGCCAATACATTCTCTGGGTATCAGGAGATTAGCAGTTATGGACTACAATTGTTCTGATATAACATTGATCCGTAAAACTTAATAACAGTGTTAATAGATGTTGCCATACCAAATATTCATAATTTACAAGCAACATGGAACAAAATGCTTTCAAAATATAGAAACCTCATAGAAGAAATTGAAACCATGTGGGAGGAGAAGAATGTGTACATACATACATCCTTGTATCAAGAATGCTTTCATCAAGCCTCTAGACAATGAACTCACATCCCAGGACTTTCATTTAATTACAGAAAAAGAGAGTTTTGTGCAATGGTCCCTAGAACATTAAATATGGAAGAATAAGAGCAGCCTAGCATACTGTTCTGGGACTGCTTTTATCTGAACCTTATCCAAAAAGATGAGAAGAATGAGAAGTTGATAATAGTAAGATGAACAATACTGGTATTTATTTAGCAATTCACAGTTTGCAAAGCACTTTTACTTTATTATAGGCAGATAGGTAGTGCAGTGAATAGAGTACTGAACCTCAAGTCAGAAAGACTTCAATTTGAATCTGGCTTCAGATGCTTACTAGTTATATGACCCTTATCTTTGCCTCAGTTTCCTCATCTGTAAAATGGGGCTAATAATAGCACCTGCCTCTCAGGGTTGTTGTGAGGATCAAAGGAGATAATAATTGTAAAGCACTCAGCACAGTGCCTGGTGCTTCGTAAGTGCTGTATAACTGTTAGCTATTATTATTAACTATTATTATTTCACCTGAGCCTTGCAACCACACTGTGAAGCAGATATGCCAGATATTATTATCCTCATTTTACAGATGAGAAAAATGATGCTCAGAAAAGTAAAGTGGCTTGACCTTGCTCACAGCTAATGTTAAGGGCCAATACTTTCTGCTGCCCTGGTTTTCACTGAAATTAGATATTTCAAAGAATGCTCTGATATACCTGAGCCCAGAGTCCAATGACCTTATAGAAGACCAAGTATCACCTAGAATTCTGGGCCGCAGGAAACTGTCCAAGGTCTCAAGCAACTGATATTTGTTTGTGTTCTTCTTCATACCCAAGGCCTGTTTAATACCCTCCCAACCTGACCCCAAACCCAGCACAGGCCTCTATTTGGTTTTGTTTATTTTTGGAGCAATTTCAAGTGCCTGCTATGAATAGCACCCTATATTAGGAATTTCAGGAAAGATACAAAAGAAATGGTTCCTGTGTTCAAGGAACTTAAACTCAGTTGGAGAAAGAGCACAGAACACAAACACATAAAAGAGTTTGATTAAAAAAATGATATGGCAGTGCTATATGATAATATAACTGGCAAGAGGAGGTAAAGTCTGGGTCAGAATGAGTCAAGATAACTTTTAAGAGAGGTTTTTAAAAAGGCAATGGGCAGGATGGGGGTGGGGGGGACATTCTAGGGGAATAGAACAGCATGAGCTAAAGCAGGCATGGAGTCAGGGCTAGTAAGGTGCTAAGATCTCCTGTCCCCTCTCCCTTCCCAGACTTTGTTGAATGAGCTGGACCGAAGCATGGGGCGCTACCGGGATGAGGTGAATCTGAAGACAGCCATCATGTCCTTCATTAATGCTGTCCTCAATGCTGGTGCTGGAGAGGTAGGTCATTTCCCTCTCACATCCCTACACTCTTCCAGAGAACAGTAATCTTTTAATTAGATTCCTCCAACTTCCTTAGGGAATCCTGGGGTAGGGTAGGGAGCCAAAGGAGGGACCCTTGACTTCTGACTGGGCAATGTCTGTTGCCATCATAACTTTTAGAGAGTTTGTGTTAACTTTCTTCCTGTGTTAAGCAACAGAATTAAAATGTTGTTCAAGTACAAAGTGCAGGTCAGTTCTGTTACAATACAGATGCCATGGGTTTGGATACATCGTAGGCCAGAGTCATGCCCTCTGAAATACAACTACTTGAAGTATCAGCCTGATAAAAATAAAATATAAATAAAAAGTAAAATGTAAAACTGGTGTCCCCATCTCCATCCTGATACTATAAAGAGGGGAGGGTCCATCATATTGTCATTATATCTGCCACTGAAGTCAATCCTAATGGTTGGTATCAGCCATTATTCAATTCAAGAAATAAGATCCTATTTATGTGAATTTTGTTAATGTTAGCTTTTTGTTTCTTTTAAGCAAAAAGATTGGCCTTCATTAAAGCCATTAGAGTTAGTGAGTAAACGATTAAATATTTAGACTTCAGAAGTCTTAGTCCATGCTAAATGTCTTGAATTTCACAGCACACATTGCTTTAAATGCTGTGATCGAAACTTAACTTCCTACTTAAACTAACAAGTAATTATTCTTCACAGAGCAAGTATAAACAGTTCTTCTCTACTGTCAACATTAGTCAGAACAGGCCCAGAGTAAGGTTAAAACTTAAATGGATCAAGACTAGTTAAATTACAGGGGCCATAGATAGGAAGGGTAGAAGCTAAGGCACTAATCTCTCTTCTAATTAATCCCAGAAAATAGATGGATGGATGGATAGATAGATGGATGGATGGATAGATAGAGATAGATAGATAGATAGATAGATAGATAGATAGATAGATAGATAGATAGATAGATAGATGGATAGATAGATAGATATAAATGGATGATGGATGGATGGATGAATGCATGGTTGGATGGATGAATGCATGGTTGGATGGATGGATGGATGGATGGATGGATGGATGGATGGATGGATGGGTGGATGAGTTAATCCAGGAAAACTTCCTGAGAGAGCAGAGAGATTCAAAGTGCTATTTGAATAATAGAAGATAGCCTATTGAGTTAACTAGAGCAAAGGGAGTAGATATAGGTTATTTTAATGAGAGAGTTTGGAGGGGAAGCAACATGAATCAGAAAAAAGAAAATGGTCATATCTGAAGAGTCTAAAGCAGAGAGAAATCCAAGGTGGGAGCAGAGCAGGAGTTGAGGAGAATGTTGGAGAATGAAGAATTGGTGCTGAGGAGGATACTGGAGAATAAGGGGCATGGATTAACCTTCCAAAAGAACTTTCTGAGGCTTTGGCAATACTGCTACTTTTGAACTGGGTTCTGGAGATTTCTATGACTGTAAACACTAAACCTCATGTTGTCTTAATACCTTCTATTGTATAATAATCCTTAGTGCTCTTATATCTCAAGGTTAGAGACTGACTGAAGCCTTAGAAACAAAGCCATTAGAAAAGTAGCCATAATATTGATGAGAGGGGAGCCTCAGTTTGTCTAAATGAAATGGGCAGCCCAGTCAGGATCTTCTTGTTTCAGGATGGGACTAGGGCGTGTTCTTAGCATTGTTAGTCTTCCCACTTCCTTTCTTATAAACCCAGTCCACTAGGACAGTGACGGAAGTGTGAGAGGTTTCTGATAGTGGCTTATCTTTGTGGTGTTGATATCACTCAGCTCCCAGAAGTGAAGAATGTGAACTGGCTTTTCCAGGTAGGCTAAGTCCAGGTTGTATAGATAATGCATTCTACAAGTATGTAGACAGGTTGTATAGGTAATATATTCTATTATATAGGTAATACATTCTATATTCTGGTTAAAAGGCTTAGAAGAAATTGAATAGAGTTTGAATCTCCTCTGTCTCTCCCCTTTGGGAGGGGTTTCCATGGGACTCTGTGACTTTTGGAGTGATGAAGAATATATATTACTGGAAGTGCTGTGTGATATTACAAGAAAGTCAAGTCATCAGGCATTTATTAAGTGCCTACTGTGTACCAGGATACAAAAAAAAAGGCAAAAGCCCCTACTCTAAAGGAGCTCATATTCTTATGGGAGAGACAACATGCAAATAAGTAGGTACAAAAAAGATACATACAAGTTAGGGGGATTAGGAAAGTCTTCTTGTAGAAGGTGGAACTATGGCTGAGATTTCAGCAAAGCCAAGGGGGAAGATGAAGAGAGAGAGAGTTATAGGGGGAGAAAGTCAATGAAAATACATGGAGTTAGGAGAAGGGGTGTCTTATTTGAAGAATAGCAAAGAGGCCATTATCACAGGATTGTAGAGTAAGAGAAGTAAGATATAAAATGTCTGGAATGGTAGGAAGGGGCCAGATTATGAAGAGCTTTAAAAACCAAACAAGATTTTATATTTGATCCTGGAGGCAATAGGAGCCACTGGAGTTTATTGAATAGGGGAGTGATGTGGGCAGACCTGCCCTTTAGGAAAATCAACTTGATGGTTGAATAGAGGATGGACTAATGTGAAGAGAGACCTGAGGCATGGAAACCAACCACAAGGCTATTTCAGTAGTCCAGGGCTAAAGTAATAAGTGGCTGCATCAGAAGAGAGAAGGGGGATTATAGGAAAGATATTATGAAGGTAGAATTGACTGGACTTGGCAACAGATTGGGTATGGGGTACAGTTTGGGTGAGAAGTGCATTAAAGGCTAAAGACAGTATTAAGTGATGGTTGTTTTCTGATCCAGCTAATGAAATAAATGTTTCTATACTGATTCTGCTTCTGGTCCCACTCCACCCCCATCCCAATTCTACCCCATCCCAATTATCTTCAAGGATAATCTGGAGTTTCGGTTACATCTGCGATATGAATTCCTAATGTTGGGAATACAGCCTGTGATTGACAAACTTCGGAGGCATGAGAACGCCATATTGGACAGGTAGGGGATGAGATGAAGGACTTATTTATTTCAAAGTAGGAAAGGAGATCTAAACATAATAAACTCAGGATGGTGAGGAGAAGCACAGAAGTACCAACCCAAGGAGAGCAGGCCTAGAATAAGTATTGAGTATCTGGGAGGGCTTCTGAGAGTGAGATGGACAGGGAGGGACTTATGGTACCCAGAAGAAGCTAGACACTTCCCAATTTGGCCTAGGTCAAGACCGATGGGTCTTTTAAAATCTCGTTAGTTTCTCTTCGGCTTGGCCATTTTCCTGTTTATTGGCCCTGCTTCCAGAGGAAAGTAAACTTTCTGTCCATCTATGTGGAAGAGGAAGAGAGTAAGTGTTTGGCTGAAAGGAGTGTTTTTGGTCTTATCTAACTTTAATTTCCTTGCTGTGAGATACTACTCAGTTGTGACCTCTCTATCTTTTCTTTGCCCAGGCATTTAGACTTTTTTGAGATGGTCCGGAATGAGGATGACTTGGAATTAGCCAGAAGATTTGACATGGTGAGGTCCCCCAGGGAGCGATTCAAACACAATACATATCAACTCTCCAAATAGCTTCCCAGAGGTCCCTGAGGGATGGTACACCAAAGTGGGCATTCTTCATAGAGCATTATTAGCATTCTTGTTTCTAGGATGCTCACAATGTCCAGATTCTTCCAGAACCCTCTGTGGAATTAGCATGTGCCCACAAACCCCAGTGCTCAAAGGAAAGAAGGCAACTATTCTTTTTTTTTTCTTTTTGGTGAGGCAGTTGGGGTTAAGTGACTTGCCCAAGATCACACAACTAGTAAGTAAGTGTCAAGTGTCTGAGGTCAGATTTGAACTCAGGTCCTCATGACTCTAAGGCTGGAGCTCTATCCACTATGCTACCTAGCTGTCCCTAAGGCAACCATTCTTAAAGAAACATAGAATCAACTCTGTATACCTGTGGCTACTTTATGGATTATCAGTAGCAAATACCCCATACGTGGGTGACTCGGATAAAGAACAGAATCCTCTTGGGATATATCTCCCTGTCATCATCTGATTTGTACTTAAGGAAATTTATTCTTGTTTTAATGTCAACCTCAGCAAAATATAGGGAGAAGGTAGACTCTGGACCTGCGATTTCATAAGTATAGGGAACTTCCAGGTGAGGTAACTCCCTCTGCCAATATAGGTCTGTACCTTCTTTGGGACTTAAATTCTTAGAGAGCTGCCTACTGTACTAACAGATCCTGTCAATTGTCCAGGATTACACAGTTAGTATGGGTAGAATCCCAGCCAAACATAATTCACACAGTGAAAATATGTGATAAATTCCCAAGCCAAATAATTATCTGTGTATATGTGTATGTAATTATTCATGACAATGCTCCCCAGATCACAAATAGTTAATTATGATCTCCTTTACTTGTGTCTAAGCAGATAGTGAGAGATGGAATCTCTGGATGTTTATGCTGAGATAGTTGGGGAGACTGAGAGACAGAAGGAGGCCCCTGGGTGGGAGGAGGTATCTCAGACAGACTTCATTGAACTAAGACCCAGAGTCTTCTCCCTTCTCTTCTTCCCTCCCTCTCTACCTTCCTTGGATTCCCCATTCATCTGCTCCTTACTTTGTTTTTCCATCAGGTACACATTGATACCAAGAGTGCATCACAGATGTTTGACCTGATCCATAGGAAACTGAAACACACAGAAGCATATCCTTACCTGCTCTCCATGCTTCAGCACTGTTTACAGCTGCCTTGTAAGTCCTGCCTCCCCCTACTCCAGCAACTGAGGCCTCAGACATTTAGCTTAGGGAGATGGGAGAGGGCCCTCCTTTTAGGCAGCATTTTCACAAGTGTGGTTCACTGGGAAGATATTCAAATGACTTTTCTAGGAGACCAGATCAAAAATGTCTGGAAACTCAAGCTACTGTTAATCCTTGTGCTTGGGGAAAGGAAACTATGGTTCAGGTTCCTACCCCTACTGTACTCCTGATTGTAGTCTGAAGGACCTAGACCCTCAGGAGGAGCAGGAGACTTAAATAACAGAGTCACCAGTGTCCTTGACCAGCAAGCATCATCTTGATCTTTTCATTTCAAGGTCAGATAGTCTCCATTTTCCTACTTCTGACAGTCAAGCTTTCCATTTTGTTATAGAGTTTCCAGTTAGGAAAGAAAAAAAAACCATTTGTTCTGGGTAAACAGGACAGATCTTTTTAAAGATATCTTTTTTTCTCTCAGCTTTACCAATTTCCCCATTTTGTTTTCTCCTTTTCTTCTTTCTCCCTGCCCACATACGTCTGTCTTCATCATCCATAGGACTATTCTAAGAATACAAATTAATCACACTATTTGTGGTTTCTACTCTCCTCTGAAGTCATAAAGATCTGAAAAGAAGAAATGAGCCTAAGTTGCCACAGGAGGGATTTAAGTTAGACATAAGGCAGAAATTTTTTCCATGAAGATTATTGGACACAAGAGTGGACAACCAAGGGAGAGGGTATACATTCTATTTTTCTGAAAGTCTTTTTGAGGAGGTTTCCTCCTACTTGCAGTCAAGTATATATAAGATATATTCCATGCCTGAAAACCTCTGATTTGCCCTCTCACCTTATTTTTTCTTGAGGAAAGAAGAATATAACAAACAAGCAAAACACCCTACAATATGTAGGGGATGGGAGGACAATAGGAAAAGAAGGGGAGTGACATGAAGCAGGGAACCTGGAATTTCTTCTCTCCAAAATGGGTTGATAGAGGAAGTGGGAGGTCCTGCTATGCCCTTCCAGGGAAACCTGACTTTGCTTTCTTGGGTGCCAGTCTTTTTGGACTGCTTGTTTCCTATGGGACAGTGGGTCCCACGTGGGGATGAATCTGCATATTCTTTGCAACAATTGGACTTCGATGTTACGGCACACTCCATCCTTGAGATTCTGTGATATGTCTTCATGGCTGGAATCCCAAGGTTACTTTCCTCCTGTGGTTACTAGAAGACACAGGAAGAAGCCTAGGATCCACTCGCTCAAAGAAGCAGATTAAATGAACATCTTGTAAATGGGGAGGGATGTATGCACGTGTGAAAAACACAACACGTGTTAAAACAGCAACCACAACACAAATCCCCCCATGTCCAGCCAGGCTAAGAATAGGGTTCAGGAAGGGTTGGGGTATAACTGAGTGACTAAAAAGCAGTGGCCTCAATGACGTTAGGCCCTTGAATAAACAAGACAGTGTCTTTACCTTTATAGTTTAAAGGCACCTCCTCTGGGATGCCTTCCCTGAATAACACTACTCATTCTCCATCCCACAAACACAGCCAATGACCCCTACTCTTCTGTAATATCTATCTCTCAATTGTCTGTTCTTATGGAGTAGTGGCATGAATAATTCAAAGCACAATCTATTTTTCATTTTTATTTTCCTTTGGAATTCATTGTGTATCATAACGGTTTTTGTAATTGACTCACCTTTCTAAATATGCTTTCATTTGGAAGATGTGAAAATGAATTTCTTTTCTCTGAACATACACTTAATAGAAAGCTAAGGGAGCTAGCCCTAGCTAGGGGAGTGGTGAGAGATGGACCTGGGGATTTAAAATTTCACAGCAGATAAACTCCCCAACTGGGAGTTGATTAGATTTATGAATTTTCAGGAGCTATATTTTTTCTGATCTCCCCCATTAGAATGGGAGCTTCCCCAAAGTGCAGACCACATCTCCTTCTTCAGTGGGGGGCTGTGTCTGCTCTTTACTCTGTGCCCCAGGCTGTGATACCCAGGACCTAGCCCCTGGGGCTCAGTAAAGACACAGTGACTGCCTTGCCTTCAGATAAGCGGAATGGTGGGAGCATCCATCATTGGCAGCTCCTTGATCGGATCCTCCAGCAGATCGTCCTACAGGATGAGAGGGGCGTGGACCCTGATTTGGTACCCCTGGAGAACTTCAACGTCAAAAATATCATCAAGATGTGAGCAGCAGTGACCTTTTTCCTTTCCTTCTTCTCCCTACCCCTCTCTACCCCTTCCATCCATGAAACCTCAACTTTCTCTTCCCAAAGCCAACAACCTCCAAGTAGTCTATAGGATGTTAATTGACTCTCGATTATCCACTTTGAGGTTTATTCACAAGAAATGCTTAATTCCAGACTGACTTCCTTTTATCTCCCCTCCCCACCCAATATATTTCTGGGTGCCATTTCTACACCATCGATCAGTGTCTGTTCAAACAACACAGACATATTTTGGTATTAGCCTGAGCCAAATATCATTAGGGGAGCAAATCTACTTAAAATAATTTATGCTGTGTATTTCAAAGCCAAGTAGAAATGGTTATTTTAATTATCCAAAGTTTTGAATTATTTTGTGCCACACTTCTCATTAGCACAGATAATCGAGAGTTTGCTGTATTTCTCTATTTAGGAAGCTTAACCAAAATGAGCCACACGATTGGGGAATTGAGGAGGATAGAGGACAATTCACTCAAGTCTCCAGCACTAACACTGAAGCTGAGAATTTGGACCCTGGTTTGGGCCAAAAGACTAGCACCTCTGCCCATAACAATTTTCCTATCCCACCTCCCCAGTCATCCTGACTCCAGCTAATATGGGAAACAGAGGGGGGGATATTTAAAAAAAAATAAAATTTGTTGGGGAGGAAAACAGGTGAGAGTAGAACTAAGATAACCATTTTCTAGTTCCAACCCCAACACTAATCTGCTGTGTGACTTTGGGCAAGTCACCTACTCTTTTTAGTCCTTACTTACGTGGTTTGTAAAATAAGAGGGTTGAGCTAGAGCTGATCTCCAATGTTCTTCCTGATTCTAATCTTTAGAATACTATGAGTTAGATGAGATAATGAAAATTTGGAGCAAACTGGAACCTAAGGACATGGATTGGGAAATCAGATGACCAGTCTGGGGGGATTGTGTAAGCAATTTAGGGGAAAAGAGAAAGGCTGAAGGGATAGAAATTGGGCTGGATGGAGTAGGGAACAAGCTAGAGGGGCAGAGGGACAGACTAAGGGTTGAGTAGATGTAATGGAAGGGGATGAGTTTTTAAGACTGTCAGCAGGTGAAAGATAATTTCTTTCCCTAGGCTAGTCAATGAAAATGAAGTAAATCAATGGCGAGATCAGGCTGAGAAATTCCGAAAAGGTAAGTATGTCTGTCCAGTCGTGCTTTGTTCCTCCCCACACCAGTCACTTCATGTTCCAGAATCCTTCTTGCCACGATGGTGACCACCCTTTCCCTGCTGGTCCTCCCTGCTCCCCCCAGAGCACACGGAGCTGGTGAGCCGGCTAGAGCGGAAGGAGCGAGAATGTGAAACAAAGACCATAGAGAAGGATGAGATGATGAAGACTCTGAACAAGATGAAGGACAAGCTGGCCCGAGAGTCCCAGGAGCTGCGTCAAGCTCGAGGACAGTTGGCAGAGTTGGTAGCTCAGCTTAGTGAGTTCTCGGTAAGAGTTTTAGGCTGTTTACATCTCTTCCAACACACACCAATATCATGTGAGTGCGCCATGTGAGTGTGCCACGTGAGTGCGCCAGAGTCTATGGTCCAGGGCTGGGAATGAGAAAGGGGAGTGCACCAGGTCCCACTGAGAGGCTAAGTAGCACTACAAGTGTGTGATGGTGTGTGGGGAAGGGGGCGAGGTTGGGGGTTAGGGTTGGGGTAGGGGGAAGGGGAGGATTGGGAAAAGTCTAAAACTGAGGAAGAGGAAGCCCTAGAGATAACAACCTCATGTTAGTCTGTATCTCTTATAACTATGAATATCCCATATCTGTGCTATGGACATGCCTGTCTTTATATGGTTTCTTATCTGTATGTTGGGTGTTTGTTGGATCTGGAGAGATGGAGACATGAATGCAGGAGTAAGGTCAAGGATTAAAGGGAAGAGAAAGAAAATGGTGAGGGTTAGCATGGGTATAAAGCTGAGGGTGAGAATGGGTGTAAGATGTGAGGGCAGAAGTGAAGTTAGGTGTGTCATGGACACCACTGTTACTGATTACTTTCCTTTCCTTTTGTCTTTCAGCCTACTGGTACCTTGTCTTCCCCTCCTCCTCCAGGAGGTCCCTTCCCCATCCCCTCCTCCAAGAACTCCATTGACTTGCCTCCACCCCCACCTCCCCTGCCTTTCTCCTGCAGCCCTCCACCCCCACCCCCACCTCTTCCACCTGGTGGACCTCCCCCTCCTCCAGGGGCACCCCCTTGCTTTAGCATGGGGATGCCCCCTCCTCTAGCCTCTCTCCCTAGCAGCTGCCCTCCCCTCAGGAAGAAGTGTGTCCCGCAGCCTTCCCATCCTCTGAAATCTTTCAACTGGATCAAGTTGAATGAGGTGAGCAAAGGGACCTGGATTCCTCCTGGATCCTTTACCCTAAAATCCCATTCATTGAATATCCCCAGTCTGCAGAGCCCTGAACCAGGTGTTTTAGAGGGAAGAGGAGGCATTTTTTTAACTTTTGAGGAGTAATCCCCACTAACTGGGGAGTTATGATGAGAGAGAGAGATATAGAGACACACAGAAAGAGACAGAGACAGAGAGAAGAAAAATATTTGCAAAGCAATATAGAAACAAGATAAAAATACTATAGTGAAAATTAAATGATTAAGCCCTAGGAGGATAAGTAATAATCCAGTAATCGGAGCTGGGAACATTTCCTAGAGGGCATCAGGTTATCAATTTGACTTTTAAATAAGTGATGCACATGGAGAAAAGGGAAGAGAGCATTCTGAGTGGGGAAGGTACTTTGTTAACAGTCTCAGGTGAGGAATAAGCAAGCAATGCACATTGGAAACATGGAATGACTAATTCTTATCAAGAGAATGAAATGTAAGTGCAAAGTGGAAAATTCTTGCCAAGAGATAAGGGTAGAGAGAAAACAGTCAGTCAACAAACATTTATTAAGTGGTTACCATCATTCTGGAGGGAATGCTGTTGTCAGTGATATGAGGATTGTTTAAAAGTCTCTGGCAGTTCACTTTTTATTACATAATAATATCTAGCTGTGTCTATGAGGGTTCAGGACATTTAACCACACTTTTCAGACCAACCTCATGAGCTGATATTATTCCATTCATTTCTTTCACACACACACACACACACACACACACACACCACCCACACACACACACACACACACACACACACCCCACCTTACCACTCAGACAGTTAAGTATTTTCTCCCCACTATGAAAGCTGATCAGTGCCTTTAATCTGCATAAGAAGAGAAGCTTCTCTGCCCCATTTGATGTCTAGAAACACAGTTCATGGTTTCATCATTAATAAAATTGAGTCAGTCAGTCAATATGCACTTAGTAAGTGCTTACTATATACCAGATACTATGCTAAGCTCTGGGGATTCAAAAAGAGGATTCCTTCCCTCAAGGAACTCTCAAATTAACAATGAGTATCTATAGATGACTTTCAGTTAACCATCAGAAAAGGGAGAGTTACAGTTGGCTGCCCATGAACACATATGCAGTGAATAGTTACAAAAAACTGAATACATATTAATTATCATCTAACTAGAGGTTGCCAATATTACATAAGTATGTAGCTGAAACTGACACCCATTTACCTGAAATCCATTGGCATACATACCAGTTGTTAATTGAGTTGTACCTTATGCCCATATTTGTAACTAGGAATGTTTTCACCTGTGTCAAAAATGACTGGGGTGAGTAGGAGAGGGGAGGATAAAATAATTGTGTAGAGGATGACCTGATGGCAGGGTTAGTATGCTAGGGGGGCTGTCAGGCTGTGAATGTATAAGGTTAGTAGAGGCAGCTGTCTCCTGGAGAATCTATAGTTGGAGGAGTGGATGATCTTAAGGAGAGCAGGGTTAACAGTTGTCATGGAAAGGGAACATACCCCACTGGATGTTGGTGTCCTGGGATAAAACCCTGTTTGCCCCATGCTAGTTGTGGCTCTGTTTATTTAAGGCTGCTGTCACTGACTCAAAGAAGAAGCCAGTTAGAGACAGAGAATTAAGTGACAAAATTGTCCCTAAAAGAAAGCAAATAGCCTGGCCACGGGCATAAACAGATCATAGAACTGTGGAATTTTGCAACTATAAGGAAATTTAGAGTCCAGCTCAGTCACTTTACAGATGAGAAGACTGAGATACTCAATTATTTGCTGAGATTCTTTTGTTATTTTCAAGCAAGTCATTCAGCCAGCCAGTCAACAGATATTTGTTGAGCACCTACTGCATATAAGCCTGTATTAGTTGCTAGGAAAAGATACATACAAGAAAAATAAATGGTCCTTGACCAGAAGGGGCTTATTCTTTCATAAAAATACTAGGTTAGGAGCCAGGAGACTTGAGCCTAGTACTTAATCTGTCAATAATTGGCTGGATGACCTTAAACAAATGACTACCATTCTTCCACAGTTGGTTTCCTCTGTCCGATGAGGGGAATGAATGAGATGAAGTCATCTCATCCAAACAGGTAATTTAGTAGAGGAGACAATTCATAAATAAATACAGGGTATTCATAAAGCTCACAGATAGTTAAAAAAAACCCTAAAAGTTGATAGACATGATTTAACTCTATTGAATACCCTCTAACCTTGGAATTATAAATAAAGTGTAGTAGCAAATATTACTAAAGTTTAGGACAAGTATCTCTCACAATCATCATTGTGTAGTGGAAAGACTGCTGGATTTGCAATCAGGACCTGGGTTCATATCTTGGCTTTGTTATTTACAATTAATGTGACCTTAGGCAAGTCAATTAACCATGCTGAGCCTCAGTTTTCTCAACTGTAAAATGTGAGGTGTGTACTAGATGACTTGAAGGTTCCCTTGTACCTCTAAATCTATGATTGTATGATATCTGTTAATTAATTCCAGCTCTGTAACAAATGAGAAATGGTTGTTATAGATGAGAAGGTAAACTGTGTTCTACGCCCACCAAACTGAAGCTATAGGAAACAAGACATGTTTGAGTACTTACTCTTGTCTGGCACTGTGCTAAGTCCAGAGGATACAAATATAAGCAAATAAATCAGTCTCTGCCCTAATCATTTTTTTTAAGTGAGCAATTGGGGTTAAGTGACTTGCCCAGGGTCACACAGCTAGTAAGTGTCATGTGTCTGAGGCTGGATTTGAAATCAGGTTCCCCTGAGTCCAAGGCCAGAGCTCTTATCTACTGCACCACCTAGCTGCCCCTCTGCCCTAATATTCTAACAAGGGAAGACAATTCTAATAGGGGGAGAAGAAAAGGGGGTAGAAAGAGGTGAGGGGGCATGGTGTGGAGGTAAGTGAGAAATGACTCTGGAGGCATGGTTGAAGGAAAGATGGAAACTCACCTACCAAAGGCAGCATCTTAGGAGCAGAGGCCAAGGTTCCTGTAAGCGGGAGATGAGGATGATGGCCAGAGTAGAGGTAGCGTGTATGAAAATGACTAAGAACAAAATTCACTTTTCATTACCAGAAATATTGCTGATTATGGCTCACATCCATAAAAGTTAAGTTACTAAACTTTAAATGGTGTAAGTTTAAAAACTAGGCAAATTTTTATAGACCCTATACATGAAGAGTTGACTAACAATTACAAAGCAACAAAGAAATGAATGAATGGATGAATGAATGAATGAATGAGGCATTTCTTAAGTGCTTATTATGTGCAAAGCACTGTGCTAAATGGTAGGGTTACAAACAGCAGAGTAAGACTGTGTTTTGAAGAAGCTCCCATTCTTACAGGGAAGCCAATACATATGGAAGTTTTCAGCTGCAAATCAGCTGGAAAAGTCCATGGTCCTTAGGGTGCAGCAACTTTTTCTTTAATGGAATTTCCCCTGATAAAATCATATCCGGTTCTATGTTTTAAGATATTTGAAATGTCACAAGTTAGTACATGGTCAATTACTCAGTACAGATAACGGAATAGGGAAGGGAATAAACACTTATTAAGTGCCTACTGTGTGCCAGGCACTATGCTCAGCACTTCACAAATATCTCATTTGAATGTAGAGAAGTGTTATATCTAATCACAGAGAAACAACCATATTGTCGGTTTGTTTATTTATTTATTTAACTTTTTTTTAAGGGAATTGGGGTTAAGTGACTTGCCCAAGGTCACACAGCTAGTAAGTGTCAAGTGTTTGGTCTGAGGCTGGATTTGAACTCAGGTACCCCTGACTTCAGGGCTGGTGCTCTATCCACTGTGCCACCTAGCTGCCCCAACCATGTTGTTTAAATGTAAATGTGAGGAAAGTACTTTGTAAACATTGAAGCGTTGTATAAATATGTATGATTATTATTCTTGTAACGAATACCATAGGACTCCCTATAATAGCAAACTCCAAAAGATTACTTAGATCCTTTGACCATACTGGAATTGCGTTATATTTATCATTGATTGAAGTAATTGAACCGTCACCCAGAGCTCTTTGATCTTTTCATCATAAAGAAATCTTTACTAGGATTTGATCTTTCATTATTTATTCATTCAAAAGGAATTTATTAATTACATATTACTTGCTAGGCATATTGATAGGACCTGGGGATAGAAGGTTTTTAAATGCTGAAGAAAGGAGTTTTTATTTCATCCTAAAGGCGATAAGGAGCCGGTAGAGTTTCTTGAGCAGAGGCGTAACATGGTCAAACCAGTTCTTTAGGTATATTAATTTGAAAACCACATGGATGATATATTAGAAAGGTAAAAGACTTGCAGAAGGGAGACCAGTTAGGAGGTGGTGAATTTCTGAATTACAGTGATGGTCATGTAATCAGAAAGCATGGGGCAGATGGGATAGATATTGTGGATAGAATCTACAAGACTTGTCAAGTGATTGAATATGGTGGGGGAGGGGAGATGATAAGGGGAAATAATGATTTAATAATGATTCCAAAGTTGCAGTCCTAGGTGACTGAATGATGGTGCTGCCCTCAGCATAAACAGTGAAGTTAGGAAGAAAGAATGGCTTGGGGGGAAAAGATAACGATTGAGATATCTATGGGGTATCTATTTCTAAATGTTCAATAGATAATTCACTGTGTGAAGAAAACCACAGATGGATATATAGACCTGGAGGCCATCTGCATAGAGATAGTAGCTGAACTCATAAGAGCTGATGAGATTAGTAGGAGAAGGTTTAGAGAAAAGAAAAGAGCCTTAGGACAGAGCCTAGGGGGACATCCATAGTTAGGAGTGGGATATGGTTTCCCATCCAGTGAGGAGGATTGAACAGATAAGAGAGAGCATTGTCTTAAGGACCGTAAACAATGTCAGATGCTTCCAAGGGGTCCAGAAGGAAAAAGACTGAGAAAAAGACACTGGATTTGGCAATTAAAGGACCATTAGAAACTTCGGAGAGAGCAGTTTCAGTTAAGTGATGAGGTCAGAAGCCAGATTGTAATTACTCTGTATGTTTTATATATTACTAGATTTATATTAAGATCGTGTTACTAAAATTGGTGAAAAACCCTTGAGGTCTAGAAAGTGTAAGTTCTTGACTGCTACAGCTGAAGAAGGTGGGATTTCAGGCAGTAGACCCTAGGAAGTAAGTGCCAGCTCCTCAGCATGACAGTGACAAAATGAAAATATTTCTGAGGAATATTACTTTGGCAGCTGTGTGTAGGATAAATTGGCACAGGGAAAGGTTGTTACAGTAATCCGTGTGTAGCAGGTGTGGGGTGATGAGGGCCTGGACTAATATAATATGGAAATTGATTCTGAGAATGACTATAAAGGAAGAATTATCAGGACTTGGTTATAGCATGTGGAAGTAAAAGAAAATGAGATGGAAAAAAGACTAGCGGAGTGCCATTGAAATAACGAGGCAACGGGAAGAGATAGAGAGAGATTCTAACAGGCAAAGGGAAGAAGGGAATATGTCCCAAGCAGAGAGCACAGATAATGCAAAGGCTCAAAGATGTGAATCGCCATATGTGAGGAATGTCAAGAAGACCATAAAGTGTGTGAAAGGGAGTAATGTATAATAAGACTGAAAAAGGAAGTGGGAGTCAGGTTGTTAAAGGATTTAAGTGTCAAACAGAGAAGTATGTAAGTAGTAGAGATTATAAGGAGGATGGATTAAGAGGTAAGAAATTAAGACAGGAAGACCAATTAGTAGAGTATTTCAATATTTCAAGGGACATGTGATGAGGACCTAAATTAGGGTCACAGCCACATGCATAAAAAGAAAGGGATGGATGCCAGAAGTGTTCTGGAGGGAGAATTTGTGAGATTTGGCATTGGATATGTGGAGTGGGGTGATGAGGAATGCAGAGTGAAGTATGATTCAGACTGTGAATTTGAGTGACTGGAAGAATGGTGGCATCTTCATGGAACTAGGGAATCAATCAATAAATCAACATTTATGAAGCACCTACTTACTGCCTGCCAGGCATTGTGCTATGTCCTGGGAATATAAAAGGAGACAAGATAGTCCCTGCCCTCAAGGAGGTTACAATCCAATGGGGGAGAGAACATGTAAACACACACAACACACAGAAAGAGAGAGAGCACGCACACAAGCAAGCTATATGTAAGATAAATAGGAAATAACAGAGGGAAGACACTGAAATTAAGAAGCATTGGGAAAGGCTTCCCATAAAAGAATTAAGAAAGGTTGTGTTTAGGGGAAAAGAGAATGACATGTTGAGTTTGAAACTCCTATAGGAGATCCACTTTGAAAGATCCAATAGACATTAGGTGATATGGGATTGGAACTCAGGACAGAAATGAGGCCTAATTGTATAAATCTGGGAACCATTGCTAACAATAATAATAATAATAATAATAGCTTTCATTTGTATAGCGTATTAAAGTTTGCAAAGTGCTTTACAAATATTATGTCATCTTTGCAGCAGCCCTGGGAAGTATTATTGTCTCCATTTTGCAAATGAGGAAACTAAGGCAAATGGGTTAAAGACATGTCCTGGGTCACATAGCTAGTAAGCGCTGGGGTACAATCTGAGCCCAACCTTTCTTGGCTATAGATTTGACCCTCTATCCTCTGTGCCACCTAAATGGTCTTAGAAACAGTTATTAAACCAGGGCAGCTATGTGGTACACCACCCTGGAGTCAAGAGGACCTGAGTTCAAATTTGGCATCAGACACTTGATACTTACTAACTGTGTGACCCCGGGCAAGTCACAACCTCAACTGCCATACAAAATAAAACAAAACAAAACAAAAAAAGAAATAGTCATTAAACCCATGGGAGCTGATGAGGTTACCAATAAGAGTATAGTAAATAATGAGAAAAGTTAGGAAGGAGCACGATAAGGTGATTCAGGAAAACAATACGTATTCATGAGATCTTGTGCTGCATTAAGTGAGGAATAGCTTCCAGGAACAAGGAATAATAATATTCTGCCCTGATCGAATCACATCTGGAATATTGTGATCCATCCTGGGTGCCATGTTTTGAAAGGTCATTGGTAAGCTAGAGATCATATAAAGGAAGGGAATAAGGATGGGGAAGGGCCCCGAATCCATATCATATGAGGATTGGTTGAAGTGGGTGTAGTTAGCCTTAACAAGGGAAGACTGAAGGTGACATGATAGCCATCTTCCAAGTATTTGAAGGGTTATCATGCATTCATTTTGGCCCCGGAGGGGAAAATCAGGAACAATTAGCTAAAGTTGTCAAGAGGCAAATTAGGCTTGATGTCAAGGGGAAAAAATCCTTTCTTATATTTAGAATGGTCCATGTAGAGTGGGCAGACTCTGGAGGTCTCTGAGCAGAAGCCATATAACCATTCATTGGGTACATTATAGTAGGGATTCCTCTAGTGGGGGTATAGGCTGAACCAGATGGCTGCTGAGGTCACTTCCACCTCTAAAAATGTTGTGATTCGCTGAACTGGAATAAGGTTTGGGTGGGAGGTTACTTAGAGAAGTCCTGATGTAGCGGGGCTCCCTGTTACCATGTCTTTGCACCAAACCTCATTGGTACTCCCCACCTCAGCTACCATTCCCTTCCCTTCCCAGTCATCTTTCATCCTGAGTCAAGCCCTAGCCTCTCCTGTACTCCCTGTTTTCCCTCATATTTTCCCTCTGATCCCTGACCCTGAGAAACCTGGCTTTTTCCCTTCGCCCTCCTCCATCTGTCCCTTCCCTATTTCAGCAAATTAACCCCCTTCCCCAACACTCACTCACTCACACACACACACACACACACACACACACACACACACACACTATCCATGGTTATTTCTGCCTTGATAAGAATGTGTCTGTGTTGGGCTTGGCCAGATGCCTAGACCCCTTGCTGCTCCGGACTCCCTGGCCCAACATTCCTAGTGAGGGTCCCAGGGCCTTGGGAAGGCCGCAGGAATGTTCTTACCCTATCCCTGCCCCCACCCCCAGCCTAGCTTTTTCTTTTCTTTTCCCAAGTTTTTAAAAATAGAACTGAATGAAAATGTAAGTTACATTTTCTGAGCTTGCTGAGAAAGCAGGAGAGGTAAGGGAAAGATAAATTGGTATTGGAGGAGAGGAGAAGCAAAGAGAGGGTTTCCCTTCCTGTACTCAGAGCTATGGGAATTGGGAAAGATGCAGTTTTAAAGGAGCAGGAAACATCTGAAAGTATGTAGGGGTTTTGAAGTGGGGTGGCAAGGAAGATGACCCAATGGAACCAAAGGTTTGTTCAGGGCAGGAGGTGTCTGTTGGCTCTGGTTTAGAACCGTGAAAGGTAGTTTAGAGAGAATACTCCCCTCCCCCTACCCACAGTCATCCCTTGAGAATCCTGGAAATGGAACCTTTTGTCCTAGAGGAGGAGAAAGCTAGTCATCTCTCAGTTTTCTCTTGATGTAAGCTTGGCATCACCTGGAGACATCTCATGGGAATAAAGAAGACAAGAGAAAAAATGCTGAGAACCTAGATTGCTTGCAGCAATTTCAATTTCTTTTTACCCTATGTATACAGGCAAGCGAGAATTTGGTTCAAAGGTGAAGAAGAGAGAAACTGAATTGAGAGACCCAGGAATTTAAAACACTTGTCTAACCAAAGAGTTAAAGATGGGACTGAATGCCATCCCTTATCTTAGTAGTTAGGGGGTCATATAGGTAACTAGGCGGTATAGAAGTGTCTGGGTATTGTGAAGGCAGCTGTATAGCGTGCTGGACTTGGGGTAAGGAAGACCTGAGTTAAATTTTCCTTTAGACACCAGCTGTGTGATCCTGAGCAAGCCGCTTCATTTCTCTCATTCTGTGTCTTCATCTGTACAAAGGCAGTAATAATAGTGCCTGTCTCACAAGGTTGTTGTGAGGGTGCAATGAGGTAAAAATATGTAAAATACTTTGCAAACCTTAAAGTGATGTATAAATGCTAGCTATTCGTTGTCCTTGTTATCTTTGTTGTTATTATTATCATCATTATCGTTATCTGGCCAATCCTCACTAAAGGACTGGGGGCATATGGGCAGATAGAAATTGGATAGCAAAAGATCTTAAAGAGGGGGTGAGGTGTGAAACTCTGGGTTTCCTTAGGAAAGAACCTCCCCTGTCTTGGGTTACTGCAGTCCTTCCAGAGGCAGGAAGCTGGATTATCAGTCCTCTCACAGCCTTTTTTTTTTTTTTTTACTCCTTAAGACTCTAAGGAAGAGGCAATTAAACTCCAAGAAGAAGAAATGAAAAGGAGTAGAGTTGACTCAACAGTAATGCTTTGGGCTTGCACAAACATTTTGCTGGGACACAGGAATTATTCCTCCCCCCCCCCGCGTGCAGCTGGCTCCAGTCCATTCCTATCAAAGTATAAGTAATCATAGATATAGGTATAGGGCATACAGGGAGAGCATGGGGAAAGATGAGAAGAAGAAGGGAGTTAGAGTGGGAAGGAGTTTGAATCCAGCCTTCAGTCAATTTGGTCCTTAGCAGTGTGCCTGTAGGAATGGTATTCATTCTCTTTCTCCCTCTCCTTCCCTCTCTCTCCGAGCACTTTTCAGGAAGTGTTGTCTGTTATGCCTACTGGATTATCAAATTCTCCACATAGGAGATGGAGGGTTGGTTCAGGAAGGAGAGAAAGATCTTCTGGAGAGTGTCAGAGAGGAAGCTATCTTGTCCTGAGGGGCTGACTGGAGGTTTCCCTAAAGGTGGTGGTAGAAAGAGGGTGAGAGAGTTGTGGGTAGCCTCTGTAAGGAGTAGAGATGAAATGGGCAGGGGAGGGAGAGAATTTGGAACTGAAAAAAAAATTAAAAGTAAGAAAATGAAAAAGTTTAGCCTTGGGGTTTTGTTCTCTGTACTGTGTATTTTAGGAACGAATCTCTGATACCGTGTGGAATGAGATTGATGATCTTCAAGTATTTCAGGTCTTGGACTTGGAAGACTTAGAAAAAATGTTCTCAGCCTATCAGAGGCATCAGGTGAGGTCTGCAGGGTGTCGTCTACTTCTTGCTGTGTCTTCTCCTTACCCCTGGGTCCAGCTTCTTTCTCCTGATCTCCCCCTCCCCACCTCTTTCCTTCCTCTGTATAACCCTGCCATATGTCTCCTTCTGCCATCAAATGACTGGTCTCCTTTCCCCTCCCCTCCACCAAACCCCAGGGAAGAGTCAATGTCAGGAGGAAGCCTGGCTGCTTTTCTTCTGAACCTGGGGATTGGGGATTACACACAGTTAACAAGCATAAGCATAACAGTAATCACACACACACACACACAGTCCTTTTTATTAAAGTTTCTAATGGCATTTTAAAGCCTGTGATTTCTCATAACAGACCTGGTAAGTGGAATAGATCTTATAACTGTGAGAATGTGAAGATAGTGAAGTAACATTATAGAGGCACATATCTTCAGGTCTAGGACCCTGGAGAGAGGCAGAGGCTGTGTGTGGGGGTGGGGGTGGGGGTGGAGGGAGGGCACACAGAGAAAAGGTTTTTGTTTTTTTTCCCCTACATCTCCAACTGCAGCCAATGTCAACACATAACAATCAATTATTTTCATGATCAGTTGGTTTTCTTTCTTTCTTTCTTTTTAAATACTTATTCTCAGCACTGCAGTATGAGTTGACCAAATGCCACGTTGGAATAGTTCTTGCTTTCTTTGGATACACAAAAAAATGAACTCTTGTATTTATCTCTCTAAAATAATAATAAATTAGGAAAGGGAAGAGAATAAGATTTTATTAAGCACTTTATACAACTCTAAGTGCTTTTACAAATATCTCATTTGATCCTGACAACAGCTCTAGGAGGTAGGTACTATTATTATCCTCATTTTGTAATTGAGGAAACTGAAACAGAGGTTAAGTGACTTGCCCAGAGTCACACAGCTGGTGAATGTCCAAAGCTTGATTTGAACTCAGTCCTTCCCAACTCCAGGGCCAAGGCTCTGAGCACTGTGGCACCACCTAACTGAGAATTTGTATACTAGCTTTCTGTTTTGCAGCAACTTATATCTTTGTTTTGGTTTCATTTATACCAAGCATGTCAGTATTGATGCCACGCAGTGATTCCAATAGTATGTCTACTGTCTTGGTCATTGGACATGGATTTAGAGTACCAGCAGCTAAGTTAATGCTTACGTACAGTCTATAGACTATAGGATTCTATGACTTTGTCTGGGTCATTGATAAAAATGCCTCATGTGCTTTTCCACGCTTCTGCCCCTGCCGCTACAGAAAGGAGAAGTGGGTTCTACAGGCTGGAGATGTTTCACATTTTCCTTTGTTTCATGGCATTGTCATGGCCAGAGGATCCATCATCAAGAGGCTACTTTTCTTAACTAGTCTGGTCCTCAGGAAGCAGACTGTCTATCACCAGGACCATACTTCCATTCCCCCAATGTTGATGTCACTCTATTATTGAATTGCTAGTTGTGTGACCCCTGAGCAAGTCACTTGACTGATTTTGTCTCAATAGCCTCACCTGTAAAATGGGGATAATCATAGCACCTACCTCCCAGGGTTGTTGTGAGGATAAAATGAGGTAATGGAAAGTGCTTAGCATAGCATCTGGCACATAGTAGGCATTTATAAATGCTTATTTCCTTCCTTCCTAAGTACAACTAAAAACTAAGTGGGGTCAGATCTGTTACTGAATTTATGAACATAGCCATTCCTGTGAACCCCATCCCAGCTGGATGAGTTGAGATGCATAACTGAGAATGGAATTCTCAGTCACTTTACTAGGTGAAGGTTAGGGAGTGTCTCATGAGCCTCTTCATCTAGCCCTCCTCCCCCAATCTGGGCGCTAGTTCCCCTGAAATGATTGCAATCAAGTGGGAAGCCACATCTCTGTCTCTCAGACTCCCCAACTGTCCCTATAATTCAGGCTCAGTCAGGGCTGCTTGTCCCTAACTTGGGACAAAAGGTTGTCCAGGATGGGGACAGCTGGGGACTCTGCTACCACAGCTCTGCCTGGTACTGAGTCCCTTGATTCCATCAGAATTTCAGGAATAACTAAAATGCTATTACAGCCTCAGCCCACTTAACTTTCCTTTAGTGGTCTAGGGAAAAGTGAGACTCTGTAGTGTTGTGGAAAAGGCACTGGACTAGAAACCAGGAACAAGCTCTGGACTCAAGTCTGCATCCTTACATTTACTAGCTGTGTGACCTCCGACAAATCACATGCTTCTCTTGGACTCAGTTTGCTCACCTGTAAAATGGGGGCAAATAGTACCTTCACTGCCTAACTTCTAGGATGATTGTAAGGAAAGTGTGCCTGTTTCTAGATTGAGGGAGGGAATAAAGAACAAGAAAGCTTTTCTTTCCTTTCTTGTAATGAGCACAATTTTTACTTGTTTCCAAGTTAATTTTACTTCTTTTTGGCAAAAAAAAAAAAAGGAAGCTGGAGAAGGGAGTGGGTCTGTTTTATTTCTAATGAGACATTACTGGAAGAAAGAACAATAAACACTCATTTGTGATGAGAGGGAGTCTGAACTCCAGATTCCTGCTTCAGCCACCCCAAAGTGACCACCCTGGGGTAAGGGTAGGGGGTTTGGGAGAAGGGCAATTAATTTTTCTGTGCCTCTGCACCCTCTTGAATTCATCCTAACTCCCCTCCCCACCAAACACACTTGTTCCCTGTTTTGGAAAAATGGCTTGGGTTAAGTATGTGGAGAGCTATCAGAGCATGATTGCAAACTATGGTGGGCTGCATGGAGAAGGGGAAAAGACAGTGGATGCTTGAGAGCCAGGGTGTTCCAAGATTCTCTGCTGTTGCTTCAGGGTCTCTGGGGTCTGTAGAATCCCTGTAACTAATGTTCTGCATGTTTAATTCTTTGTTTGCTGTGGCTGCTGCCTAGGACCTGCTAACTAATCCTCCCTTTAAGCAGGTGAGTCACTCTTGGGGCTCTGGGTACCCCAGCCTCTATCCCCTTCCCAGTTTCTATTCAACATACTTGGGCCCCGGAGAAAAGGGATGCTTGCCCACCCTGACCCCAGTAGAAAGAGTCATAAATGAGAATGTCCAGAGCAGGGATAGGAGGGGATGCTTGGGTGAATTCTAGAAGCATTAGGGGTTCTCTTCTGAACACTTAAGCCTCTCAGTTCTGGTCAGGGGAACTGGTTCAGTCTTAATGAATCTGACAAACGAGAGCTAAGAAGTCCTACTTCTATGACTGTGAGGCAAAGGGAGAATCCAGAAGAATGGTTTGCTTCATTGAGAATACAGGAGAAGAGGAACTTTGTGTTCCTGAATCTCTGAAGATTTCCTTCTTACTTACATTGTGGAGGCCTCCAATTCCCTTTCTCTCATGCATTTGCTCAGAACCGTTCCCCTTGGGTATAATGGGCACAATATAAAGCCCCCAGGACCCAGGAAGGAGGCAGCCATTGACCATTTCTGAGCCAGCTTCTTAGGAAATTGTTGTTTTAGTCATGTCCAATGACTAACAAGACTCCATTTGGGGTTTTCTTGGCAAAGATACTAGAGTTGTTGGCCATTTCCTTCCCCTGCTCACTTTACAGATGAGGAAACTGAGGTAAACAGGGTTAAGTGACTTGAGGCCAGATTTGAACTCAGGTCCTCTTGACTCCAAGCCCCTGTGCCACCTAGCTGCCTGGAGCTATAACAAAGTGATGTAAGGAACAGCAGGTCCTGCTACTCTCCAAGTCTTGGGAGTCAGATACTTCCAAGCAGGACATTCCCATAGCTTAACTCCTCTGTCCTAGACAGGAAGAGTTAGTCCATAGACCTCCATCTCATTCCAACACATCTTAATCCACAAAGTCATAAAATTTTTCATGTATCAATCCAGTTTCTACCTGCAAAAGCAGATTTTAATATCAATCCATCTTTTCTCTTTCTTTGGAGGCAATCAGGGTTAAGTGACTTGCCCAGGGTCACATAGCTAGTAAGTGTCTGAAGCTCGGTTTGAACTCAGGTCCTCCTGAATCCAGGGTGAGTGCTCTATCTACTGTGCCACCTAACTGCCCCCATCACCCCATTTTTTTAAAAGGACCCTGGCTGTGCAATCAGAGGGCTTAGGTTCAAATCCTAACTCTGGAATTTACTACCTGTGTGACTTTTGGCAATTCACTTAACATCCCTGGGCCTCAGTTTCCTCATCTGTAAAAAGAGAGGGTTAGATTAGATGGCCTCCGAGATCCTATGATCACAGATTATATGGTCCTTTCCCTGCTTCCCTACCTCCCTGGTGACAAATGGTATGGATTAGACAGTTCCTGGGTATCTAGAGGAGTCAGGAAGCAGCAAGTCCTGAATCTCTTCCCTGCTTGGTTGCAGAAAGAGATGGGCTCCACTGAAGACCTCTACCTGACCACAAGAAAAGTCAAAGAACTCTCAGTCATTGATGGCCGAAGAGCCCAGAACTGTATCATCCTCCTTTCCAAGTATGTGGATTTCCTCTACCATCATACCCACTTCTACACGTAGCCTTGCATTGCAGGATATAGATCTTCCCATATCAGGAACTCCCAAGCTGAAGATCTCTTCAATCTCTTTTGTCCCTAGCTTGGGGCCCTGGGATGGGGACAACTAGAGACTCTGCTACCACAGCTGTGCCTGCTACTGAGTTCCTTGACTCCATCAAAATTTCAGGAAACAAAAATAGCCTTCCCGCACTTAACTTTCCTTTAGTGGTCTAGGGGAAAGTGAGAATGTTTAGCATTGTGGAAAGAATTAGGATTAGGAATAGGAACCAGAAACAAACTCTGGGTTCAAGTCCTGATCCTGGGTGCCATGAAAGTTAATGAGAAAGGACTATTTCCTCAGGGTACCATTTGTAATGATGACACAAGTGTAAAGAATGCATAGGTACAAATTTTGATGCAGGTATAAATGATGATACAGGTACAAATTTGGTACACGTGCTATGATGGCACAATACAAATTATGCCCAGGTATAAATGACAATAGGGACACCTCGGTATCTCACTGTGAGGGGCCAGAGAAAAAAAGGCCAATGAGAGTCTTTAATTAGACCTCAACATCCATCTCCTACTCTTCCCATCTGAAGAGGGCAGACCATAGATCTGTATGGAGCGGATCAGTAATAAACTGGTGCTTTCCCACATACCCAACCTGCCTAGGTTACAGAGACTTCTGGTTATCTGGGAAGAGGAAAACACCTGGTCAGTGTCCAACAGCTGCTGCTATCCCAGGGGGATCTGAGAAGGAGTATGCATCAAGGGGCTGGGCTCAGAATATGCCTGTGGAGTTGAATGATCTCAGTCGTAAAACATGTTGCTTTAGATGCAGAACAAGACAGGCAGTATCCAAGCTAACAGCTCTGCTTCTATGTGAGGCCTCCTTGCCTAAGCTTGCGGCCACAGGTCACAGTCCCATAGCCTATTCTTAGCTCTGCCTTGGACTCACTCCCTTCCTTCTATTAGATCAGACCCCATCCTACCCCATACCTCAATTTCCCCCTCCTTGATAATGGGGAGAAATTATCTTCTATAGCTGGAATTGTTAACCTTGGGTCCATGACCTTTTAAAAAATATTTTGATAACTAATATATTTATATTATTATATAATATATGTAACATGTTATATACTATTATATAATGTATATAACATGTTATATAATATATATAACATATAATGGTTTCCTTTATAATCCTATGTACTTTATGCACTTTAAAACATTATTCTTTAGGCTTCACCAAGCTGTCAAAGTGGTCCATGACACAAAAAAGGTTAAGAACTCCTGCTCTATAGGATTCTAAGTTGAGAAGAAGGCTTGTTCTCTAGGGAAAGAAGAAGGAAATGTTATGGCATCTGTCCAGGCGCTTGGGTTTCCCAAGACCCAGCAGAAGGTGGAACACTAAAGCCACTTCTGAGTGCCAAGAAAGTAGACAATTGGTCCCTTGACGAGAAGGCAGAGCACAAGAGTGCCATCAATTTTTAAAGGATGGTGGATGGGCTTAATAAATGCCTAATAAATATTTGATTGATCGATTGATTGATGTATAGAGATTGGGGAAGGAGCCAGGAGCCTTTGTCCTAACTCTAGAATCAAAGTTAAATCCAGCTAAATAACAGCTAATAAGTTATAGTATCTTTGCAACCAGGATTAAAAAAAAAATTAGTAGGAATTGGATGACTGCAATACAGGCTACTCTGTGTGAGGGAAGATAAATTAAGTGGGTAAGAAGTAAGTTAAGTTGGTGTTTTGAAGAATGAACGGGTTTTGGTTCATCTTGGAAGGTATCCTAGAGGTGGTAACCCTGAACTGAGGTGTGTTTTTGTTCAAGGAGAAGCACATCTAAATGTGTTACCCAATTTTGATGGGGGAAACTAAATAAAGAGGGCAGTGAGGGGTCTGAGTTGGGGCTTTAGGAAATCTCTCAAGCAGATTGCTAACAAGGTAGACTCTTGTAATTAGGTTGAAGCTTTCCAATGAGGAGATCCGGCGAGCCGTGCTCAAAATGGATGAGGAAGAGGACCTGGCCAAAGACATGCTGGAGCAGGTGAGGCCTGATGGTCATGCAAAGGGAGTATGGGGCGCTTTCCTCTCAGACATTCATAGTGAGTAGGCCAAGAAGAAATCAGTCTGAGCAAAATCAGGGCTTAAAACTCAGAGAAGTTTTAAGGAAAATGGAAATTACCCTGTTGCAGACCTTCTTTATGGGAGGAAGGGATAGAAACGAGGCAGTAATGAGAGGAATAAAATGGCAGTCTCTGTCACCATACCATTCTTCCATGAGTCTAGGCAACATCCTCCCATCATTTTCAAGCAGAAATGGGGTGAGCTCATATTCATAAGAGGAAGTGAAGGGGCAGCCAGGGTTTCATCCCTATACAAGGAGATCTTAGAGTCCTCTAATGAGTGCAGCCAAAAAGGTCAATTCATCCATCCTGCCCTGGGGCAATACTAGAGCTAAAGTAGACCTAGATGGATTAACAACTGGTCTGTTTTTAAAAACCTCCCCCTCCCCTATTTTAGGTAGTTACGAGATGGACATCCCTCCCTGACAGTCCCTGTCCCCCAGCTTCTTACTGAGTTTCTTGTCTGTCCCCCATATTGCCCTCCACAGCTTCTCAAGTTCATCCCTGAGAAGAGTGACATCGATCTACTGGAAGAGCACAAGCATGAGATAGACCGAATGGCCCGGGCTGACCGTTTCCTCTATGAGATGAGCAGGTCTGGGCACAATGGGGAGAGGGCTTGGCTGGGTCAGTGTGTGTGTGCCTTGAGATGACCACTTATTCCTCAATGTGAGCAGGTTTGGGCTAGCATGAGAAATCTGGGGTGGGCTGAGAACTGTGGTTAAGGGGGAGAAAAGGGAAGGAACAGAGCTGGTTTCATGGGGAAGCAGACACAAAGGATTAAAGAGAACTGAGAAAGCTCAGAGGCTCATAACTCTAGGTCTGCAAGGGCATCTCATGGGCCATTTGGTCCAACCCCCTCATTTTACACATGAGGAAACTGAGGCATAGAGTGGGAAATGACTTACCTGAGGTTCCAAAATAACTTGATTATAGAGCCAGGGCTAGTTCTCAAGTCTCCAGACTCTCATTGAGTATCTAGTATCTAGCGTTTTCTGTAATTTAAGTATTATGTTGTAGGACCATAGCATCACACTCCTAGAGCTGAAAGGAACCTCAGAGGCCTTCTAAGTCCAATTCTGTCATTTTGCAAATGAAGAAAGAAAGATTAAGCAGCTTGCCTAAAGCTACTCAGGGAACAAGTAGAAGACCTGGGGCCTTCTGGCCCCATCAGTCTTGTGTGGGAGGCTAGGGCTCCTGATGAGGACATGGAGGACTGGACCTGGCTATTGAAAAGACTCCTCATGACCCTCTTCCCTTTCACCCATAGAATTGATCACTACCAGCAACGTCTACAGGCTCTCTTCTTTAAGAAAAAGTTTCAAGAGAGGCTGGCGGAGACCAAGCCTAAAGTGGAAGGTAAGATTGGGGTTAGCTTGAAGGAGGCCTCAGGGTACAGGGGACTGGGGTTAAGGGTCAGGATAGGCATATTTAAAGATGGAAGAACTGGGAGGCCAGAAACAAAAAAGTCAAAGTACTACAAGGCAGGGAATGGTTTACGAAATCTCGGCAGACCCCCAGACAAACCCAAAGTCAAATGCAAAATTGAAAACACCACTAGAAAACAAATGCATGTGTGTGTTGATATACATGCTGTCTAGATGGCACATGTGACACCTCAGAATGCCAGATACCTAAGGCCTCAGTTTCCTTATCTGTAAAATGAAGGAATTGGACTAGATGACCACCAAGATCCTTTCCAACTCTAAACTGATTATCCTAATGATTGATCCATAAGGGAGAGGGTTTTGTCATAAGACTACACAATACAGCGACCCAGCATGGGATAGAAGTTACATAAGTATAGAATGCATTATTCTAAAAACGGGGTTGGGCAAGGGTCACTTATTCTGGAGGTGGGGCACTAGAGCAGGGGAGAGGGGATAGAGAAGAAGATGGGCAGGATGTGTTTATTTGGCCTGGAGTGTCTAGTTCTTATATTATGGCAGCTGTTCCATGCTGCAATGCAAAGATCCCAGCACTAGCAGTCAAAAGACATGACTGTGCTACTAATTAGCTGTGTGACTTTACAGGAATCACTTAACCTCTCTGACTTAAATTTCCTCATTTGTAAAATGAGGAATTAGACTAGATAATCTCTTGGATCGCTTCTGACTCTGACCTTCTGTGCTTGTGTCCAAGTAGGGACGTGGAAGGCAAGGCTGAGCTCATCAAAGTGTCTCCCTCTCCTCCCTAGACCCCAGGATACTGGGATTCCCAGGACGAAAGATAGGGTCTCATTGACTGAAAGGAGAGCTGGTTAACTTGGTAGGAAGTGAGAATGATGAGGCAGAGAAGAAGGTGGGTGTTTAAGGAAATAGAAGAGGACTAAGAAGGTTGCTCTAGACTTCCATCCCTTACCCCATCTCATCCAAGAAGGCGATTGCAACATGTTGGTAAAGAAGTGGTCCATGAGTAAGGCTAAGAAACCAAAGGTTTTGACTCATCCCGAATCCCACATCTAAGAAATACTTTGAGTGCCCTCTGCTGGACACCAGAGCTTCAGCTTTCAGTGAGGCTAAGGGTGATATAACATTCCCGGTATACGCATCGTCAGGATTCCCAAGGAAACACAGATAAATACAGGCATTCCCCATTCACTTCAAGTCTACCCTGCTGCTACTAGGCAAGTACTCATCCCAGGCTGGAGTGGGGCAATGAGGCAGTCTGTAAGTCTGGCCTCCCAGTTCTTTCATCTTTAAATATGCCTATCCTGACCCTTAACCCCAGCTTCAGCATGTCTTTAAGTGGCACAGACAAATAGCACAGGTGAGGGTCTTACCATTGGGCAAATTTCCAGTTCCATAGCAGAAATGGACAGGGATTCAGGATGCACAAATGAATGTACATGTTTTTTCTATTTTTTAAAATTTATTTTTAGTTTTCAACATTTATTTCCATAAGATTTTGAGTTCCAAATTTTCTGCCCACCTGTTCCCTCTCCCCACCCTAAGATAGCATGTAAATTGATACAGGCTCAACATATACATTCACATTAGTCATGTTGTAGAGAAGAATTAGAACCAGTAGGAGAAAGCACAAGAAAGAAGAAACAAACAAAAAAAGAGAGCAAATAGTACACTTCGATCTGCATTCACACTCCGTAGTTCTTTTTCTGGATGTGGACAGCATTTTCCATCATGAGTCTTTTCGAGTTGAAATGAACATACTTTTGAAAAATTATATTATTTAAATAAATTTTCCCTAGCCAACTTTCAGTTGCATGCAGATTATCATAATTCTTCATATAATTAACATATAATAATGTAAATATTAGTGTAATTATTATGCAAGTTTTGCTGTTATTATATAGGATGTAAATACATATAACATATGATGTATAATTATTAAAATATAATTATATAACATGATATAAGTATATATGATACAACTTATAACATGATTGTATATGATTATATGTAATACAATAAATTGTATATAACAATTATATAACATGTTACAAATAACAACATATTATATATAACATAATTGTGAATATATTATAATTATATAATATATAATAATTATAGCAACATTATATTTATATAATTTGTATTTACATGTTGTATTACAATTTATATAAAATATTTGTGCATTATATTTATATAATACAATATTTATGGCTAACAAGAGAGGCAGCATGGCATAGCTGATTAGCAACAAAACCTGGGTTCAAGTTATGCCTCTACCACCTACTGACTGTGTGACCCTAGGCAAGTCACTTAACCTCTTTATGACCTAGGCAATTCTCTAAGACCTTAAGTTGCCCAGAAAGGGGGTGGTGGGGGTATACTTGCATTAGTAGAGACAGTTATCTTCTCCGGGAGTTCCTTGTACCAATGAAATCACGGTTCCAAGTCGCTATCAAAATCCTAGAGGTTAACAAGGCACCTCCTTCACAACTACCCTGTGGGGCCTTGATAGTTTGCAAGTGAGAGGTGAAGGGATGGATTTGTGGTCAGTGAGGTAGTGAGTGTCAAAGCTGGGACATGAAACTCGGTCTTGTGCTTTTTTCCCTGCATATACATTCTATGAAATGATTAGGAAAACACATGTTTTTGAAGTCTTTTTTGGAGGGTGAAGGGGGCATGGTGTTGTTGAATTGTTTAGCACTTCTTCCTTTCAACTGTATAGATAATTGAGAGTTGAGTGTAATTATAAGTGTGGATATCCATTATAAAGGAAGCAAAAATGATGAGTTGTGTGGGAGTGAGAATTCCCAGCCACTCTTCCAGTTCATCCAGGAAGACTGGAAGAGGTGAGCTTTCACCTGCCTTGCACTGGTAGGGGGGCAATGCTTCTTGGAGGTAGGGGGCTCTGCCACTCTGAAGCCTAGGCTAGTCCTGCTTTCTGAGCTTTGTATTGGAATATCCTGGGGAGGGGGGATGGGAATCTGCCCTCCTTCCTCATGGCTGTCCCCCAGGCCAGTGTTAGGGGTCTCACCCAGTTCTGGGGTGACCCACCCCTACCCCCTAGCCCTCCTGCTGGCCTCCAGGGAACTGACACGCAGCCACCGACTAAAGCGCCTCTTGGAAGTCGTCCTTGCCATCGGCAACTACATGAACAAGGGACAACGAGGGGGAGCTTACGGCTTCCGAGTGTCCAGCCTCAACAAGATTGCTGACACCAAGTCCAGTATTGACAGGTGCGAGCCCTCCCTTCTTCCACCTTCCCAGCCTCCCTGTCTTTCTGCTGCCCTGTTATCTCACCCATGACTCCACATTTCCCTGGTGTACTGCTTGGATTTCTTTCTTGAGCTCCCAAATCTATGCTGTCTGGCCAACCCCTTTCCCCACCTCCCAACTGCAGGAACATCTCATTGCTCCATTATCTGATCATGATTTTGGAGAAGAATTTCCCTGACATCCTCAACATGCCTACCGAGCTTCAGCACCTCCCTGAAGCTGCCAAAGTCAAGTGAGTGGATATATCCTTCTCTATTATCCAGGCTTGGCTCTCTCCCCAAGTCTCTCCTGCTTCCTGGACATTTCCACTGGGCTCCTATGGCAATGAGGGACTGGGAGAAAGGGAGAGCAGCGACCAGAATTGTACTGGGTGGTGGGGAGAAGCCAACCAGACACAGAACTTTTGCTGTGAATAACCTACATGCAAATGAAAGTTGGCCGACCAAATTTATTTAAACAGGGTTTTCTCTTTTTTGACAAAAACATAACTTTTCACCTGAAAACCTAGGTTTTAAATAAATGTCATGAATTCATATGGAAAACCAGAATCTTGTCCCTGTTTGAGATCTCAGCTCCCCTAGGGAAAAGGCTTAGGGATGGGGGAAGGACTGTATTAGAAACTTCTGTGGAAGGGGGGGGGGTCGGTCAGGGAGATTTCCTTCTCTCCCTCGGTCTCCCACCCTGCTCTTTCCAAATCAGGAAATTACAGTCCATTCCCCTGATCTGTTTTCCCTGCAGTCTATCAGAGCTGGAGAAGGAGGTAAACAACATCAGAAAAGGGCTGAGAGCTGTGGAGGCGGTAAGTACCTGGCTCTGGATTCCCATCCCCTAAGACTTGGGAGTTGGGACTGTATGAGGCAAGAGGCTTGGAGAGAGCTGCTCATAGGGATGGGCCCTCTGAGAGGGTTGACAAAGCCCTCTTCTGTTCACCAATGTTTCATGTGTATTAGGGTATGGGTTTGTTTTTTGTTTTTTGTTTTGTTTTTGGTCCTCTCAACTAGATTTAAGCCACTTATTACTGCCTGGGATTGTATTTTATGGTTCTCTGCATCCTGCCCTACCCTATTCCCCACCCTGCAGTGCTGAGGCTACCTGGTAGGGCATCTACTTACCAGCTGGCATATTGATTGACAATGACCGTGATGCTTCCTCAAATTTCTGCCCCAATTTAGGGTCCAATTCAATACAACAGGTAATCCAAAAAGTCCTTTTGGTTTGGCATGAACTTCCTAATTATCTTTGACTTAGGTTGATAACAGAACAATTTGATATTTCTTCTAGCCTGGAGGAGGGAGCCAGCGGTTATGGGAGTTAGAGATATTGGTGAGCGGGAGGTGCCCTAAACATATAACAGTGAGAGAGAGAGAGAGAGAGAGAGAGAGAGAGAGAGAGAGAGAGAGAGAGAGAGAGAGAGAGAGAGAGAGAGAGAGAGTTAGTTAGTTAGTTCTGGAGAAAAATAAGATCATAAACCCAGAGTTGGAAGACACTTTAAGGGGACACTAAAAAACATCCTGTGTATTTTATTTTATGAATTTGTCTCTGGGCTTCACCGGACTGGCAGTGAATAGCCAGCAAGTGGGCCATGTCAGTGTATATCAAAGGTAGGACTGTTCTGCAAGCAGGTGCAAGCAATATATGCCAAGAGAATTCAGGGAACACAGCTGTAACTGGGAATTCTAGTGTTTCAGTTCAATTAAGGTGAAGTGATCTGGGCTTGTGGTCTGGGCAATCACTTCCCAGACTACTGCAATCCTTTAGCAAACATTGGTCAGTCGTTTCAGTCATGTCTTTGTGACCCCATTTGGGGTTTCCTTGGCAAAGATATTGGAGTGATTTACTATTTCCTTCTCCAGCTCATTTTACAGGTGAGGAAACTGAGGCAAAAAAGTGACTTGCCCAGGGTCACACAGTCATTAAGTGTCTGAGGCAGGGTTTGAACTCTGGTCCTCCTGACTCCAGGGCCAGTGCTCTATCCACTGAGCCACCTAGCTGCCCCATCCCCTCATTTTATAGTTGAGGAAACTGAGGCCCAGAGGAGTATAAGGGACTGGTTAAGATCACACCCTACACAGTAAATTTTATTTAAGATACTCTTTTATGTTCCCTCTCACCCCGTTCTTGGGAGGTTGAAGAATCCTCTTTTAAGGGCTTGGTTCTCTGCTCTAGAGCATCCTACCAAATGTCTCCTGGTTGCTAGCCTACAGTGGTCAAATATTGAAATATCCTGCAACCTTTCTCTGAGCCTCTTGGTGGCTCCTCCTGGTGGTATGGGAGATAAAGAGCCAGGGATACGGCTTTCCCTTTCCCTCCGGTCAGGTATGGTAGTGCTGAGGAGAGATTTGTTGACAGGAGGACAGACAGCACAAATCCAGACAGAATGGGAATGGGATTTTATTGCAAATGCGATTGCTTCAGGCTAGATATCAGGAAAAACACATAGTTGCACATAGAAGGCTGAAGAATCAACTTCTATGAAAATCTCTAAAAAGAGTAGAAAGCTCTCTCTCCTTCTCCCCCCCCAGGTCAAAGGTAGTAATAGACAGGGGAATGGATGCCATGGCCTTTGAGGATGCTTTCAGCCCAAGAAATTCTGAGACTGCTTCCTTACTGTGTTCCTATTGGTGGAAGGAAAGGGTAGGAGCCTGGTATAAGTGAGGGAGCTTTCCCCTCCAATCACTCCTTCCATCTTAATGCTGGACAGTTTCAGGCTGAAATCCTCTTCCCTTCCATTTTCTCCTTGCTTCATAGGAGCTAGAATATCAGAAGCACCAGAAAAGGGAGTCCGGTGATAAGTTCGTTCCAATCATGAGCGACTTCATCACCGTTGCCAGCTTCAGTTTCTCAGAGCTGGAGGATCAACTTAATGAAGCCAGGGACAAGGTAGGGATACTCCCACCCTCCTGTCTTCCTGATCCTCAATCCCAGCTCCACTGGGACAGACTAAAGATCCCGCACCCCAAATTCCCTCCCACCTCAGCCCCTGATGACCAACTCTCCGTGTCCTGACCCCTATGTTTCTGCTTCCTCCCTGCTCTGCTCCCAATGACAGTTTTCCAGGGCACTGAAGCACTTTGGAGAACCTGAGGGCAAGATGCAGCCAGATGAATTTTTTGGCATCTTTGACACCTTCCTTCAGGCCTTCTCTGAGGCCCGGCAGGACCTGGAGAGCATGAGGAAAAAGAAGGAAGAGGAAGAGAGACGGGCACGGATGGAAGCCATGGTAAGGAAAGGCACTGAGGGACAAAGGAAGGGAGGGTTGTATGTATGGTTGGGAAATAATAGGGAGAGTTGATAATGGTACATATGAAATGCTACTTTGTAAGGAGGAGAAAGGGGTTTGGGAGGGTTGTGGGTCAAGGTGGTGCTCATGAGGACTGGGCTCATTGGCCAGTCCCTCCCCTTCCCCAGCCTCACCGCCCATGGGACATTACTGGGCCATCTCCATTCTTCTTGATCTGTGTCTGGCCACTGGACCTAGGCTGGTGACCTTGCACAGCCCTCCCTCACTTAAATCCATTTCATGGCATCATGTTCCTCATGTCACGGTCCTCTTCGAGAACTAGGGACAAACAACCAGGTCATTACAGGAAAATGATAGAAAATGGGCAGGAACTAAAAAACTTTGAGGGAAGGAGAAAGAAGAGGATTAAAGGATTTGGGTTACTTCAAGGAGAGCTAGGAATCAGTGTGAGGCTGTTAGGGGGAAGAGAATAAGCATTTATAGAATGCCTACTGTTTGCCAGGCATTGTGTTAAGCCCTTCACAAATATCTCATTTGATCCTCACAACAATCCTTCGAGGTAGGTACTGTTATTATCTCCATTTTTTTAGTTGGGGAAACTGAGGCAGAGGTTGAGTGACTTGCCCAGAGTCATGCAGCTTTCTGGCTTTCTACTCACTGCATCCATCTAGCAGCCTGTAAGGGCAGTTTAGCAAGAAAATGGAGCTGGGACACTTTTTTTTTTAATGTATTTTTCCATTGATGTAAAGTGCTTTGTTTGCAAAGCAAACAAACCACGTTATTTAAATGCTAGTTGTTAATATTATTGTTGTAATTAATCAGAAACTGGGCCATTTTTGAGAAGAGAGACAGAATATGAGTTCCTACCTTCTCTGGTTCCCCAGTGGGGAGAAAGAGACTGATTCCCAGTGCTTCCTTGGTCTGGCCTCCCTCCAAACTGCTGTTACTGACCGGGCATGTCTTCCCCCGCAGCTGAAGGAACAGCGGGAGCGGGAGCGTCGACAGCGGAAGGCGGCTGTGGGAGTCAGCAACTTGGAGGAAGGTGGAGAGTTCGATGACCTGGTGTCTGCTCTGCGCTCAGGTGAAGTCTTTGACAAGGACTTGTCCAAGCTCAAACGAAGCCGCAAGCGGTCAGGGCCCCAAACACTCGAAATAAGCCGGGAGCGGGCGGTGAACAAGCTAAATTATTGACTTGGAGACTTTGGCGGCAGAAAGAGGATGGCTACCGCTCGAAGAAGCTGAGGGAGGACTAAAGGGGTGCAGTCGGGGTTGCCTAATGGGGTGCTTAAGCTGGATTTGGGGCAGTAGTGTGTGGCTGGCCCAAATATATCCCCTTTCCTTCTCTAACTACCCTTCTTGTGCCCTGCTCCGCCCCATTCCGCTGTGACTGACTCCTTCCCTGAAGGCATCGCCGGGTGATCTCTGTTGTTACTTGGCCAGAGGTACAGGATGCCTAGAAGTTGTGTTGAGGGCCCATGGCTCCACCTGGATACCTGCATGTTGCCATAGAATGGTTCTAGCATCTCACAGATCAGCTCTGAGCCCCCACTAATGGCAAACCAAGATATTGTTGAGATTTCACTGATGGGGAAAGGGTAGTGGGAGGGGGCCATTTTCTTTGTATAGCTTCTGAGAGCTAAAGCACACAGTCCCCTCATCCTTGGTACTGACACCCCTTTCTCTTGAATAGAGGCCTGGAGCATCTACGTTAGGGATAGGTCTGGCGGCAACCCTGAAGACAAAAATGTTCTGCTTAGATGAAAGGGAAAAAGAAAAAAAAAAGATTTTCTGGAAGCTGCCAAAACACAAACACACTTTGTTAATCTTCCACCCTGAGTGCATTAGGATTTCAGATGTGCTTGTCTAAGAAGTGAGTAGAATGGAAAGATGGATGGAGGGAAGGATATGAATATGGCCAATGCAAAAAAAAAAGGGGGTCCGAGGAACAGGATGACAGTGTAGATCAGTCATGAGCTAGAGAACTGAGTTATTTTCCTCAGTACAATTTTGGTATAGTCGAAAGACTCAGTACTGATAGAAATTGGCTGGGCCCCTGCCTTACCTTCAGTGAAACATTTATATTGTAGCCAAAGTCAGGGACTTGGGCTTATGTATGAAGACTGTATTCCCTACCCCCAGAAAGGAATCTGGTGTGACACAGTTCCTTCTTCCTCTTCTTGGAGGGGAATGATTTGGGATCAGCTGCCCAGGCCCCTTCCAAACTTTACTCCCTACCTCTGGAACACAAACCCTGACACCCTGTCCTCTCCTGCTCCAATCTACACCTCACCTTTACCCTACCCCACCCCCATTCAAATGTACATACCCACTGACCATAGTCCTGGAGACATGGAATATGTGCATTCTCTGTCAGAAGCCCAGAGAACACCAGCACTCCAGCCACTGGTTTGATTTTTCCTACTCTTTTAAAGAAACTTATTTGCTTACAGCCTCATTTCTTTCAGACTATGCCTAACTTCCAGTGCAGTCTGTCTCATGAAAGTGGAAGCAGCCAGCCCCTTCTCTTCCCTGGTCATCCAAAGCCCTAGCCATCTTAGAGAAGGCCTGGGGGTATGTGGGACCAGTGGAGAGCCACTTAGAAGAAAGTCATCTCTTCCCTCAGCTGAAGAGTGAACCATCAATAGGGATGGATAAGTCATTTGTCCACAGCTTTTTAGAGGAGGTCACCTATTTTAAAGCCGTACCCTGCAAATCAGGCCTAATATAGCCAGTCTATGTTTACATATCTACAATGAGGGATTTACCATTTAAGACAAGTGGGGCCAAGTTCAGATCTAAAATGAAGGTTGTGGATTCAAAGAACTGTGAGTGATGGAGTGTGATTCCCTTCAATAAATGGTCAATGAAGGGTAGAGCTTGGAGCCAAGAGGTGGGTATGGCCTCTAGCCACTTCCCTCCCAACTCATAAATCTGTTTCCCACTCCCCAGCTGCCAAAATAGGTAGCCCTGCTTGGAGAAGATGGGTAGACAGGGGTACAGGTTAATAAGACCTGCTGATAACCCCCTTCTTGCTCTAGAGATTCTTCTCCATCCCCCTCCACCACCATCTTAACTCTCATCTTACACTGTCCACTGGTTAGCTCACTGACACCCTGCCCTCTAATTCCTGATCCCCAGAGTCAGGAAGACCAGAGGTATCATGGTGGAGGCAGGAAATGTTCATTTGCAGTAGACTTTCCCCCTTCATTTATCATGACTTTTCAGCTTCTAAGTGCCTTCCACTTGGAGTCACAACCAGATTTCCCTCTTGTTACTTCATGTAACTTTAACATTTGTTTGCTGTGACCAAATCCCTATTTTCAGTGTGGCCTGATGAGCAGGCCCACTCTAGCTGCCAATCTTCTGACTTTTGGGAGGGAGAGAGGGGCAGTGAGCATCCTGGGTGATCTGGGTGGTTGAGGGCAAGGCAACAGGGCCTTGCCTGAGAGACAGGACAGGAGACCCTGGAGGGGAGGCCATACTGCCCTCTGAGAAGCATGTGCTCAGCATGTGTTTAGTGTGAGTTGGGCTGGAAGAAGGGATAAAGGAATAGGGTGGGGGTATTTCCACCCAGGTGTAGGATGGACAGGGTCAAAGATAAGAAAAAGGAGGGAGCTGAGTTGTCTGGACTGGGGGTGTTGGGGAGGGATTTGATTATAGTCGTGGTCTTCTGGAGTTCTGATTAAAAAAGCTATCCCTCTCTCACATACACTCCCTAACCCAAAGGAGGCACTGGGAAGGACTCCAACCACACTTGTTCAAGGAATGAATGGGATGGAAGGCGGGATGTTGGGAAAGGTGTTAATGTGACCAATTTGATAGGACTTTCCTCTGTCCTGGTATACCCCCAAGATGCAAACCACTTCAGCTTCTTGCCCCCTCCTCCTCCCAAGCCATAAAGCAAACAGTGCTAGCCCCCTGACCCTATGACACAGCCCCACTCTGTAAAGGGTGGCACACAGTAGGGTAGCCTAGCCATAGCATGTGTTTCTTCCTCCTGGCATCCTCCTTGTATTGCCACAGGAAAGTCCCAGATACTGACATCTGGAGATACCTGGTGGATACCGTGCCTTTCTGTCCAGGAGCATATGGCACACGCAATTTTGTTTAGTTTGTTTCTAATTTAGATGAAGCCCATCAGCCCCAGGAGCCTGATTTCTATTTATTGTTCCCTAGCTCCTACTGGCCCAGAGGGCCGATGGGGGCAGTGGAGGCTGCTTGGCAAGATTAGCCTCCCCACCATCCCCCCCAACAGACTGACTGAAGAGGCTGGCCCAGCAAGAATTGGGGGGCAGGGGGAGTCACTGACTGATGCCCCATAGAGGCTGGGTCAAACTGGTACCTGGTGTACTGCCTTGTTTTAATCTCTCACAAACCATTAAGTTTTGCTCTTTGCCCTTTTCCCCCTGGTCTGCCTTTTCTAGGGGGTAAATTTTCCCCACTGTCTAATTTTACATCAGATGCAGAATTCATGTTTGATGTAATGTAGCCCCACCCTCTCCCCTTCCCCCCCCAGCACCCCTGAACCTCCCCATCCCCAACACAGAACCCAGACCCTGACCCACCCTTGGCTTCCACCTCTAGATCTCACACGAGAGGAAGCTTGCTGGAGGAGGAATCTAAGGCAGGGGTGGGAGGGGGGGAAAATGTATCTCCTCCCCCTTGTCAGTCTCTCCCAAACCCCGGAGCTGGGGCTGTCCCCTTCCATCAGTCACAACTCAGTGGCATCGTCACATTCACCAGCTATCTCAGACAATGAGTCTAATGTACAAAATCTGTAGTGTCCTTTTTATTCGCACCTTTTTTATAAGAATATACTGTAATACTAAAAATATTAAATCCGTACAGCCCCTTTACGGCCTGTCTTGTGCCTAGTCTTTATTATCTTGCCTCGTTTTGCCTCAAAAATGAATGTTTATGTTTTGGAACTGGGGGAGATGATGTAGGGGTGGAAGCCAGGAGAAAGAAGGAAGGCTAGGGCCAGGAAGCAAAACCTGAGACTGGCTGGAGGTGGAGAGAAATCATGGGTTTAAACAAAAACATGGGTGGGGGTGGTCCTGGGTAATACGCTACTGCAAAAACAAGAGAAGAGCCTTTTTAGACATCTTCTAGTCTAGCATCATGGCAAAGGGAAGTCTTTTCTAGTAGTCACACATGTAAGGTGAGTTAAGTTGCTCATGGGTCTCCAACTGGTGGGAAAGGAGAATAAGTTTTCCTGCTGTGTTGGCTGGGGAGAGGAGGTGGGGTGAGGAAAACAGGACCTTCGTGAATCTTACCAGTCCGTGGCTGGTCTGATCCCTATCTTGAGGGATACGGAGTGCAGGGAGAGGTTCCATTTGATTACTACAGTTGGAGCCTGGCCTGTATAATTTTCTAAGAAATCTCAAGTGGCTGGAGGTGAGACTAATTGGACTCAAATTTAGATAGGAAAGGGTTTAATAGAATTAACCTTTGGAGGAGACATCTAGTTACGAGGCCTCCTCGTAGGTTATTAGCTCAGCTGAAAATAAGCAAATGGGAGGATTTTGAGTTAAAGTAGAGGGGGGATGAAGGAGAATGCTTTAAATCTTTATAGTCACCTCCTCTACCCTTCCTTGATATAATCCTCATTTTTATTCTTCTTTAAAAATCATTGTTAAAGATTTATTCAATTGTTGTTCATTCTTTTATTTTCAGTCATATCTGACTCTTTGTGAGCCCATTTGGGATTTTCTTGGCAAAGATACTAGAGTGGTTTGGCTTTTCCTTCTCCAGCTCATTTTACAGATGAGGAAACTGGGGCAAACATGGTGAAGTGACTTGTCCAGGGTCACACAGCTAGTAACTGTGTGAGGCCAGATTTGAACTCAGGAAAATGAATCTTCCTGACTCCAGGCCCAGCACTCCATCCACTGTGCTACCTAGTTTTGCCTTGCCTACCCTTCCTTGTTCAAATAAGTAACTAGGTATCATTTACTGAGAACAGAGTAAGAAGGCAGTCCTCAACCATCTTGACCCTATTTTCCCTGGGAAGATGGAAAGATAAGGGAAGATCAGAAGCCAGACTTAGTCACTGTCATTTTGCATAGCTGTCAAACCAATGGTGTAAGATGTCGGATACCTCAGAGTCTGACAAGACATCACGGTCAGGGTCAAATGGAATGGAGAAGAGAGAAAAAGGGAAGACAATAGAGACACAAGAGGGAGGTGGCACTGTTAAGCCTAAAACTGAGAAGGCTAAGGGGTAATGTATGATGACCCAGAGTAGGAATGACTCTCTAAGCTTCCCTCTTCACTGCCCCCTCATACCTAATAATATCAATAATAGCTAGAATTTCTACTGTGTCTACTATGCAGGCACTGTGTGCCAGGCACTGTGTTTTACAAATATAATCTCACTTGATTCTGACAACAGCCCTGCAAGGTAGGTGCTATTATTATCCCCATTTTACAGATAAGGAGACTGGGGCAAACAGAAGTTAAGTGACTTCTCCAAGGTCACACAGTTAGGAGTGTCTCGGGCTGGATTTGAACTCAGGTCTTCCTGACTCCAGGCCCAACAACATATCTACTGCACCACCTCTGTGAAATAGGATAATTAAGGTAAATCTGCATAGGGATATCGGCTGGGGGGAAAAGAGTCAAACTACATTCCTGAGCCGAAAAAAATAAACCCCAAATAGGAATGGTCACTAAGTTACCTTTCAAGTGTAAAAACTCGAACTCCATAGCTAGGCTGAAATCATCCTCATTCATCCCCACCAAGAAAAAATTCCTTTTCCTACCCTACCTACATAAACTTCCTAGGAATGGGGATAGAAGGGAGTGAGTGCTGACCACCCATAAATCTTTGCTTCTTTGGCTGGCTGGGGCAAGTCTATCACAAGAAGGATAAGAATAACTCAGGTTTGGAGAAGGGATGAGGAAATGAACCACCCTCCTTGGGCTGCAGAGGTGGGAGATGATGGCTGTGGAATGTTACCTCTACTGTCAGATGTGGCCTCCGCCTCAGCTGGTTTCTCCTTAACTGTGTGTTTCTGTCATCAAGGAAGGCTCATAGGGGGTGTGGGAGGGTATATCTGGAAATGACTGTGAGGTTTAACAAAAAAATTAAAGGCATCGATAAAAGCAACAAGCAAAAATCCCTAGGGCCAGTCTGTCCTCCCTTCTTCCCCTGCCTGGAAAAAGAAACTGGACCAAAGTCCTGTCTCAGGAAGGGAAGGAACATCAGCCTGTTTGGGGTGTTGAGAAGATAAGGCAGCAGCAGACGATACAGGATATCTCCAAAGTCTTAGCGCCCCTTTACTTAAAAGCTTAAAACTGCACTAACGACCTAAACCGGGGCAGCTAGATGGCACGGTGAATAGAGCACCGGCCCTGAAGTCAGGAGGACCTGAGTTCAAATCCAGCTTCAGACCTGACACTTGCTAGCTGTGTGACCCTGGGTAAGTCACTTAACCCCAATTGCCAAAAACCCCCCAAAAACCCTAAACCAAGGCAAAAACAAATGAGGTGGAAAAAAATACTGAGTAAGGAAGAGTCCACTGGGGGTAGGGAGTATTAATAAATAAACTCTCTTATCTAGGGCCACTGATTTAACTTGCAGATGATTTGGACCTTTTCTCTCCCCATTGCTGGCCCCACAGTGTTATTCCAAGGGTCAAATGATATCATGGATTAGAAAGTATTTTGAAAAGTGTTGAATGCTCTGCAAAGGATTCTTATTCTCACTATCCTCGGGTATTATATTTGAGTCTTAACCCCATTTCTGCCTCTGACTAGCTAGCAGTGTCATCCTGACTTCTTCATCCCAATTAGTTATTCTCCTACTCTGGGCTTTAGTTTTCTCATCTGTCAAATGACAGTTTTGGACTCGATGGTCTCTGAGTTCCTTTCAAGCTCTGAATCCATGACTAGACTATTCTTAAGGTACCTCCCAGCTCTGACATTCTTTGGTCCTGGATAATGGGGAGTGATAAAAGGGCACAGTGACCCAGACAAAGATGTAACCTCACCCTAGATGCTGACACAAAGTCTGCTGCAGATTCTCAGAAAGGGAGGAGGACTTGGGTCTGTCAGAGTTGGGACTGAGAGGGTTCGGAATTTGAGCTCCGGTGAAAGTCCCCTCGCTGGCCCCCTGTTTTACTAAGCAATTTGATGTCTCCCAGCACAATGTCCCTGCTGACTGCTTTGCACATGTCATACAGGGTGAGGGCAGCTATGGTAGCAGAAGTGAGGGCTTCCATTTCCACACCAGTGGGACCCCATGCCCGACAGGCTGCCTGGATCACTACAGCATGGCGGGTGGCATCCAGCTCCAGCTGTAATTGGGCATGGCTCAGAGCCACATGATGGCACAGTGGGATCAGCTGGCTGGTCAGTTTGGCTGCCTGGATTCCGGCCAGTTGGGCCACAGCCAAGGCATCACCTTTCTGTAGCTGGTTCTGGTGGACAAGCTTGAAGGCCTCAGGCCCCAGGAAGACCACAGCAGAGGCCACAGCCACCCGCTCTGTGGTTGGCTTTCCACCCACATCAACCATGGCAGCCCGCCCCTCTGAGTCCACGTGGGTCAGCTGGTCTGAGAGAGGAGAGAGTCTGGGGGTGGCTGGGACAACTGATGTGTCTGTGTTAAGGCACTTAGTGCTGCAGTCAGGATCTTGGGGGTAAGAGCTGTAGAATCTCCAGGAAGAGCTTGCCTCTAGCCTTGGCTGGGTTGGAGGAAGGACTCGTGGTAATCCCCCTCTTGTCCACCTGGCTCCCATGTGGCTGGAGAAACTCTGTCTGGCTCTGAGCACCTGGATGTGAAGAGGGTCCCGGGGAGGAAGGCTGGAAGAGGTGAGAGGAGCATCTCCAAGCTTTGGGAAGCACCCTATATGGAAACAGGGAAGAGAAGAGGTTAAAGGCAATAGTGAACTGACAGGGAAAAGGACACTGAAGATAAGAAGGTAGGGAAGACATGGGCAGAAAGCCACAGGGATGTAAGCAATAGAGAGACACAGGGTGAGACACAAAGGCAAAACTCTGAAGTAAATAGTTTCTTGAAAACTTTCACCCTTCCTCAGTCACCTTGACCACCTAGAGGTCAGCTTCCCCAGTGTGCTACAAAACAATGATCTGGACTGTGGAGTGAGCTCCTATCCTGGGAAACCTTTAGGAAAAAGAAGCCACTCCCTCCTATCTGCCTATTATGACTCTATTATGAGTCAGTGGACCAGATGACCTCTCCAAGTTCCTTTCATTTTTTTTTTTTAAATAATAAAACCCTTAATTTTCAATTGGGGAAGCTAGGGGGCTCAGTGGATAGAACGCTGGGCCTGGAGTCAGGAAGATTCCTCTTCCGGAGTTCAAATCTGGCCTCAGACACTTACTAGCTGTGTGATCCTGGGCAAATCACTTAACCCTGTTTACCTCAGTTTCCTCATCTGTAAAATGAACTGGAAAAGGGAATGGCAAACCACTTCCAGTATCTTTGCCAAGAAAACTCCAAATGGGGTCACAGAGTCAGACATAACTGAACAACAAACATTTTTACTTACAGGATCGTACATTTAGAGTGGAAGGGACCTTAGAGGTCATTGAGTCCAACCCCCTTTCCATGTTGTATATGAGAAAACTGAAGAATAGAGAGGTTATGTGACTTGCTGAGGGGGGGAGTGGGGGATGGGTATCACAAAACTAGTAAGTGTCTGAGGTAGGATTCAAACCCAGTTTCCCTGATTCTGATTACATCGTCCTGTCCACTTTGCTATGCTGCCTTTGAAAAACAGAGGATTGCAGATCTGTTGCCAGAAGGAACATGGTAGACCATCCAGGGAGTATAACCTCCTCGTTTTACAGATAAGGAAACTGAAGCAGCAGGATTTGCCTAAGGGCACACAGGTAGGAAGGCTCAGAGATGGGATTCGAATCTAGGTCCTCAGACTCTTGTACCACAACGTTACTCATTCAGAATTTTTGACAATTTCAAAAAAAAAAAGAAAAGAAAAAGAAAAGAGAAAAAAAGAAAAAAAGAAAAAAACCCTAGATGAAGGACTAAACTGTCCCTAGATGAAGTCTCTATCTCCAATAAAAAAATCTGTTAAGCAAATTAACAAGTATAAACAAGATACCAGGGGAAATATTTAACCTACTTAGGAGAATGCATTTGTCAAATGCCTTCAAGTAACCCTCAAGCATTTCAGACCTGCAGGAGACAGGCTCCTTTCAAGGTAGCCTTTTCTCTTCCTTAAAGCAGGCCCCTTTAAGATCCTCTACCTTTGGGGCCACATTTTATTGGTCATTTTACACACTTGAAAATGATAAAATGTCATTGGAGGCATCACAGCAGTAACACTGAACAAGTAGCCAATTTATTGATTGCTGGCTAGCCTAATTAATAAATTGATTATTAATTACCCGGAAGCTCTGCCTCTTGGGGGTTCTTCATTCATCACACACTGTTTGAAGGAGGTTCACTGGTAAAAATGAAGGCATGAGGCTCACCGAACTTCATGGTCTCTGACAGTGTTACAATCTTATGATTCTAAGAGTCTCTTTGAATTGGTAAGGATGGGGAGAAAGGCTGGAGTTGTGATTTCAATGATATGGGGAAATTCCAAATGAAGAAATTCCATCTACCAATGTAAGTGAGCACCTTCTGAGCCACTCAAAGTCTTGGAGAGTTTGCCTAGATGGATGACTTGGCCAGAATTAGAATCACAAAGACAGTAAGTGCCAGAAACCGGAATTGAAGTCAGGTGTTCCTGGCTCTGAAAGCTGGCTCTCTAAACACTATGCCCTGCTGCCTCTGATTAGTAAGAAGTATTTGGAGTAAGTCTGAATTACAGGACTCTGTTCTTATTTCAAATTCTGACATCACCCCGGGGAGACCTACTTATTCTTTACCCCTCATTACCTCCATGCTATTGGATGTAGGTATTCTTCAGATAGCTAGATGACTCAGTGGCTGGAGTGTTGGGCCTGGAGTCAGGAAGACATGGTTCAAACCCAGCCTTAGACACTTACCCTGGACGAGTCACTTCACCTCTATTTGCCCTAATCCATTGGAGAAGGAAATGGCAAACCACTCCAGTATCTTTGCCAAGAAAACCCCATGGATAGTATTAATGTAATATGGTCCACAGGCTCATGAAGAGTTGGACATGACCGAACAACAATTTTTTTTTTCAATTATAAAGCAGTATGCCCCTCTAAAATTACGTGTTCTCTTTATAAGTAAACTGTTTTTAATAAGGCCTCTTTGGTAAGCTTTTGAGATGAGTTTTACATAAATATTTTTTTTCCTAAGAAAATAAGACAAGGGGCAGCTAGGTGGCACAGTGGATAGAGCGCCAGCCCTGAAGTCAGGAGGACCTAAGTTCAAATCTGGCCTCAGACCAAACACTTGACACTTACTAGCTGTGTGACCCTGGGCAAGTCACTTAACCCTAATTGCCTAATTAAAAATATACATATATAAGACATTCTGTGACTGAAAGAAAATCTAGGGAAAAAAACGCCAATCAATTTGAAGTCTTGTTTTGGTATCTCTTTTCTTTAACTAATGAATTAATTTTATTCTGTGTTTTTTTTTTTAATTTAATCACCTTCATATCCCATGAAGGACTCATGGGATAGTGAATGTGCTGACTTAAAGAGTTAGAGAATCTGGGTTTGAATTCTGGTTCTGACAATTACTCCCTATGTGACCTTGGACAAATCATTAAACCTCTCTGGGCCTCAGTTTCCTCATCTGTAAAATGGATGGGGGGGTTGAAATGCCTCTAGGATAGGGGTTCTTAACCCCTTTAGCAGTCTGATAAAGCCTATAAACCCCTGCTGAACTCCTTTTCAGAATAATGTTCTTAAATACATAAAGTAAAATATATAGGATCATAGGGGAAACCACTTATATTGAAATGAAGATATAATTTTTCCCATATTATGCCCTTCCACACTATGAAATCTATTCATGGACTCAGTGGGAGTTAGATTAAGAAGTCTTGTTCTGAGGTCCCTTACAGCTCTCGACCCATGATCCTGTAACTTCCATCAGCCCCAAATTAGTGAGTCTGATTATGAAGAAATAAGGCAGATTCTATAAGATATATATGGTGACCACCTATCTTGTTACTTCATAGGCACATTATTTTGGAGGCACTTTGTAGGCACCATTATTATTTCTCAAAGTCTAGTAGAAAGAGCCCTGGCTCCAAAGTCAAGGATTTGGATGTAAATCCCATCTCTGATGTTTGCTACCTACGTGACCAAGTCAGTGAACCTTTCTGGGCCTCAGTTTCCTCATCTGTAGATGTCCTCTGAATCCTCTTCTAGTTCTAGGTTTCTCATCCAATGTAATTTTCCCCAATGGCTCCTCACGAAGTGAAGATGACCATGTTTCTGAAAGGCACAAGCTTGGAGAGTTCCACCAAGCTGCAAAGGTGAAAAGGATGGGTTTGGTGACCAGCCATGTGTGTCTGCTTCAGGAGAACCAGCCCAGGTAAACATGGAGAGGCTCATCACCAGGAAAGTTGACTGCCAGTTGCCATTTTTGGTCAAAGCAACTCATGATGCTATCCAACCAAGACATGCATGAAAAGCCCAGGTCAGTAGAAGGTGCACTGGGCTGATAAAATCACGGATCCTTGATATATTACTCATATTAGTCTGTTGTGAGCCCACTGCCAAGTGGCAGAAATCATCTGTTTCTGAAACAAAAGCCTTGTACCTAACTCCTATTCAGTAAGAATTGCCCCTTTGGGGGAAGGTAGGTGGCGCAGTGGATAGAGCACCAGCCTTGGAATCAGGAGGACCTGAGTTCAAATCTGACCTCAGACACATAACACTCACTAGCTGTGTGACCCTGGGCAAGTCACTTAACCTCAATTGCCTAAAACAAAACAAACAAACAAAAAAAAAGAACTGCCTCTTAGCAAAGTTGTCTGAACTCCAATCAGTTGAATCTTATTTTCCCAATGATTCAAAGGGACACAGGGTGTAGAACTGGAAAGGACCTCAGAGGTCACGTAGGCCAATCTCTCCATTGCTTATATTAGAAAACTGAGGCTCAAAGAATTAAGTGACTTGTCCATGATTATAGAAGTAATAAACAGCAAAATTAGGATTTGAATCTAGTCTTCTAACTCCAAAAGGCAGCTAGGTGGCACAGTGGATAGAGTGCTGGGCCTGGAGTCAGGAAAACTCATCTTCCTGAGTTCAAATTCAGCCTCAGACACTTACTAGCTGTGTGACCCTGGGCAAGTCACTTACCCATGTTTGCCTCAGTTTCCTCATCTGTGAAATGAGCTGGAGAAATAAATGGCAAACCACTCTAGTATCTTTGCCAAGAAAACCCCAAATGGGGTCACAAAGAGTCGGAAAGACTGAAAAAAAAAAACCTAACCACTGCACAACAATTTCTGACTCTAGACCCACCATAACACCTCCTCAAAGTTTGACCCTACCTATCCTACTTCTTGGATTGAACCTTAATGAAAATGGGACCTATCATTAAAGATCCAATAGCCCTACTGCTCCTGCCACCCAATGCTCCCAGCTCCCCCCAGAAAGGTCTCTGAAGGATAGGGAAGGATAAAGGGTGGGGACAAATGGTTACGTACTGATGGGTCACCCACCGATGAGGATCATGGGTCGGTTCTTCATCTGGGCAATGTTGAACATGCCTGAGTTGGGGGAAAAATGGAAAAGGAAGAGAAAAATGGGGTAGGGGGGAGAGATCAATAGAGGGAAGAGATAGATGGACAACATGTACATCTGCTATGACAAATGCCTGTGTTCATGCACAAACACATACACGTACACAATAAGGCTGTCTTTAGGATAACAGGGAAACCAGGCTCCCAAACTCCCACATCTCAATTCTTGATAAACTCCCAGAAAAGGTGGGCACAAGGGGATATAGATAGGGAAGAGAGGGAGAGATTGGAGCAAGTAGCTCATCTGTCTCTGCCATCCTCCCTCTCCCCCCACCCATGGGAGAGGGACACAAGGCCCAAGGGGAATGACTGGGGTAAGGAAGACGTACTAGGACTTAACTGGCCACCCTTTCTCCTTAGCGCTAGTCTGCCCCCCCCAACCCTCATCAACTTCCCTCTCAACCCTTCCAACTCCCTCACTCTCCCAACCTCAATACCTGCATGTTGCTGCTTCTTTCTGCCCACGGCAGCTCCAATGATGCTCAGCAGCTCCTCCTCGGAGGCCCCAGCCCGAAGGTGATCCCGTAGAGACACTTCTGAATTTCCAAAGAGGCAAACCTGCCCGACAGCACAACACAGAATCGATGACACTCACTCTCATCACTGGGTTTTGGTCCCTGAAGAGGGACCAGATATTCTCCTCCCTCCCTCGGCCCACTGAGCTTGGAATGAAAGGAAACGAATTAAAGTTATACCAGGAAGGGACGAGGTCAGACATAAGGAGGCAGCCTGGTATGGTAGAAAAATCACTGTCTCTGAAGTCAGAGGACCTGAGCTCAAATCAGAGGCAATTAGGTAGTGCAGGAGATAAGATATGAATGTGGGACTTGGAGACAGGAACCAGCAGGTTGAAATCTTGCCTCAGCCATGTATTTGTTGTAAGAATCAAATCACATATGCAAAGCACTCTGCAGACCTCAAAGCTCAAAGCTCTATAAAAATATGTGTTATTCAGTTGTTTTTCAGTCATGTCTGACTCTTCTCGACCCCATCTGGGCTTTTCTTGGCAGAGATACTGGAGTGCTTTGCCATTTCCTTCTTCAGCTCATTTTATAGATGAGAAAATTGAGGCAGACAGGGTTAAGTGACTTGCCCAGGGCCACACAACTAGTAAGTGCCTGAGCCCAGATTGAACTCAGAAAGATGAGTCTTCCCTCCAGGCCCAGTGCTCTATCCACTGAACCACCTAGCTATTACTAAAAATTATTAAATATCAACTATTATTAAATCCTGCCTCTGACACGTAGTACTTGTTTGACTTTGAAGAAAGAAGGAAGCAAATATTTATTAAGTACCTACTACTTATCAGAAACTGTGCTAAGCACTTTACAAATATTATCTCATTTCATCCTCATAATAATGCTAGGGAATAGGTGCTGTTATTAAACCCATTTTACAGATGAGGAAACTGAGGCAGACAGGGGTTAAGTGACTTGCCCAGGGTCACAGACCTAGAAGGAGTCTGAGGCCAAATCTTAATTCAGGCCCAGCATCCACTGTACCACCTAGGTGCCTCTAACTTAACTTCCCTGGCCTTCGTTTTCCTCATTTTTAAAATAAGGGACTACTTAAGTCCCTTCCAGCTCAGGATCCATAATCTTATGAGCTCATGACAACAAAAAGAAGTTGCTCTTGGGTATTGAGGGGAAAGGGCCAAGGCCCAAGGGCAAGGAACCTACGGCCTAGAGGTGACACATAGCCCTCTAGGTCCTCAAGTGTGGTCCTTTGACTGAATCCAAATCCAATCCACAGTTTGGATTCAGTCAAAGGGCCACACTTGAGACCTCGAGGGCCACATGTAGCCTCAAGGCTGCACTTTCCCTACCCCTGGGCCAAGCAGCTTAAAGATAGAGGAGGCCCTGCCAGGATCACCTGCAAAAAATCATTGTGCAGCTTCTAGGTCAGGTGCATGTGAGAGTCTCCCAAAGATATTTCCACTTGGATGTCCCAGTCACCTCAAAGTTTCGCAAACTGAAATCAGTCTATGCTTAAAATCAAACTTCTCTTCTAGATGTCCCTATTTCTGTCGGTAGTACAATCACTCTTTGTCACTCTCACCCAAGACCGCAACCTCAGAATCAGCTCCGGGAAGAAGTCAGTCATTGGATTCTGGTTTTTTCTCTTCTTTCAAAAATATTCCTCAAGGGGCTGCTAGGTGGCGCAGTGGATAGAGCACCGGCCCTGGAGTCAGGAGGACCTGAGTTCAAATGTGACCTCAGACACTTGACACTTAACTAGCTGTGTGACTTAACCCCAATTGCCTAAAAAAATAAAAAATAAATATTCCTCAAATCTGTAATGACTAAAATGGTTTCCTTATTGGTCTCCCCACCACTAGTTAGCCCCACTCTAATCCTTTGTGCACTGAAGAATCTTCCTGATGAATGCACCACTTTCATCATGTCACCTGCCAGTGGCCATGATGCCATCGCCGGTGCAAAATTTCTTCAGTCGCTTCCTGCTGCCTACAGAACAAAGTCCTTATTCCTCATCCTAGTAGTTAAGGCCTTCTACAGTCTGGTTCTCACTTACTTTTACCAGGTACATCTCCTCTTCCTTTCCTTTCCATATATTCTCTGATGCAATCAAACTGGTCTATCTACCGTCTGCCAAAATTTTTCTCCTTCCTACCTTTGTTCACAATATTTCCTGTTCCTGGAATGCTCCTCCTTGATCTTCTCTATCTATCCAATTCCAACTTGGCTCATTTCCAATGCTCCCTCCTTTAGGAAAAGCCAGGGCCACCCCAACACACAATAGCACCTTTTATTTTTTCCTGATCCCTGCAGCATTCACTTAGAACACTGCCTTGTGGCAGTTTTCAGCAAGGTTGCCTTCTTTAAAAAATTTTTCTTATGCATTCTGTTCTCTGAGACTATGAGCTCTTAAAGGATAGACCTTGTACTTCTCTATCTGCATCTCCCATGGTTTCTAGAATGCTGGGCACACTGAATATAATCATTAAACAGTTATTCAGTAATAGATAGGTTTGGTGTCAAGGATGATATAACTGGCTGCAGTGTTCCAAATCAGCAGTTCTGATGCAGAATCCACAGGTACCTTTCAGGCCTTGATTTTGGTAAGCCCCACACAGGGGTGGGGAATTCGTGGCCTTAAGACCACAGGTAACCCTGTAGGTCCTTAAGTGCAGCCCTTTGGTTGAATCCAAACTTCACAGAACAAATTCCCTTAATAAAAGGATTTGTTCTGTTAAACTTGGACTCGGTCAAATGGTCACACCTAAGGACTTAAAGGCCACATGTGGCCTCAAGGCCATAGGTTCCCCACCCTTGCCCCAGACCTTTGGTTGAGTAAGGGTGATATAACTGAGATTCTTTTTGGAGGAGGGAAAAGGGGAACAGGACAGAGAGGAAGCTTCTAAGCAATCACAATCCACCTAAGAGTCAACCCCTATCCTGGAGTCCAGAGAGTCCCCTAAGGGTCAAGAGAGCAGCTCACCATAGCCCTGTTCCAAGGCTCCCATCATCCTCCAGGTAATGACATAGAATATATCTCAAGTCTGGATTCTTTCACCATCAATCATCTCTCTATCCTGTTTTCTGAAGAAATCTCTAAATCGGGGGTTCTCAACCTCTCTTGTTTCATGGACCCCCTAGGCAGTCCAGTGAAGCCCATAGACACCTTTTCAGAATTATGTTTTTAAATGAATAAAATAAAATATATAGGATTACAAAAGAAACTAATTATATTGAAACTCACTTATCATGATATTCCAAAAAATCAAGTTCATGGACCTCAGGTTAAGAATTCCTGGTCTATAAAGTCAATCCTTCCCAGCATTCCCATACCTACTCCCTAAAATAACCAATATCTCAGGAGGAAGAAAGGGAAGATATTCAGGATGGCTTTGACACTACTGGAGGTGGGGTGGGGATGGAACAACACTGGGGAGACAAAACACTTGAGGAAAATGACATTGGGAGAAAGTAGCACATCTGGTGAGGCATTGTGGGGAAGGAGTGACCCACCTTGAGGTTTCCATCAGCTGTGATTCGGAGACGGTTGCAGGTCCCACAGAAATGCTCAGACATAGATGTAATGAAGCTGACCTGGCCTCGGAAACCAGGGACCCTGAAGGCCTGGAGGAGAAGAAGAAGCTTGGAGCTATGGGAGATGAAATCTCCACTAAGATGTTAGCAGGAGCTCCTACCCAACCCTTACTCCATACAGACCAATTCCCAACCCCATAAAGGCTATTTCATCCATCTCTTGACCTTCATGCCAAAAGATTCCCTACATAGATGACTGAAGAAAGCAATGCCACCCCCTATGCTGCCCTCCAATTCACCCCACTATTCCCATTCCCTCAACTGAAACATCTCAAGATCTTCCAACCAAGAGACATGACAAGTTTTTTTTGTTTGTTCTGTTTGTTTTCTATTATCTTACCTTATTCTACCCTTCTAGAAGGTCAATCCAGACTTCCTACTCTCTGCCAAATACTCACTTCCTCTAGAAGGAAGACACAGGCTAATCTCCCTGCCTCAGACCCCAGTCCCATTTCCCTTCCAACCTTAGCTGTGCTAGAGGCTTCCTCTGGTAGCTTCTCCAGCTCTGGCCAGCGCTGGTGGATCATGTCCAGCATTTCCGTATAACTGACCATCTTCTTAAAGTTCCACTTGTTACCTGTGGGGGCAGCACACAGCCGCCTTGGTCACTTTCCAGAAGATCACAACATTGCCCAAATTCTGTGATCCTTGACAAGTTATTTCACTTCAGTTTCCCTTTTGGTAAGATGGACATAATAATAATTGCATTCCCTGCCTCGCAGGATTGTTCTGAGGAAAGTACTTTATATACTTCTGAGGGCTATGAAAACAGTAGCTATTATCATCATTATAAAAATTACACATTTAGAGAATCACAGAATCTTCACATTTGCATAGGACCCTCAAAATTCACCTCATCATATTTCCCTTCCAGTATGAGAATCTTAGTAGCAAAGTGGAGATGGGCAAATCATTTGCCTCTCAAAGCCTCAACTGTCAAATGGGGATAATGATATTTTCACTATCTACCTCATAGGATTTTTGTGAGGAAAGGGCTTTGTAAACCATACAGTGCTACAAAAATGTGAGTTATTCATAGTAAATAGGCAGCTAGGTGGTGCAGTGGACAGAGCGCTGAACCTAGAGTCAGAAAAAGACTTGAGTTGAAATCCAGCTGCAGATAATTAGGAGCTGTGTGACCCTGAGCAAGTTAGGATCTGCTTGCCTAAGTTTCCTCACTATAAAATGGGGACAATAATAGCACCTACCTCCCACGGCTGTTGTGAAAACAAAATAAGTTGATAATCATAAAGCATTTTGCAAAAATTAAAGCTCTATATAAATGCTATGTTATTATTATTAATTATTATTATTATTATTATTATTATTGGGAGTCACACAATCAGGGTTCAAATCCCTAGCTCTTCAACTATGGGCAAGCCACTTTGATTCTCTGAAGCTCGGTTCAATTGTCTATAAAATAAAGGAGTTGGACTAGATGATGCCTAAGGTTTCTTCTGGCTCTAACATGATTTTCTGATCCCAATCCCTACCCCCAACCCCACTCCAATCCCTGCTACTCATGGCTCTTCTTCTAGGGCATAGAAGTGGGTAAATAGTTAAGACATCTTCAGTGAAGTCACTAAGGTATCCCTAAGAAATTCTGACACAGTATCAGAGATCCCAAAGAGATCCATTGTTGGGGGCAACTAGACCCCTCAACATTGAAGCCATGATGATACTTGCCACTCCCACAACATGGCCCAGGCAAAGCTTGGTCTTTTAAGTCATGGGACTCTTCCCATAGCCCAGTCACTAACCATGAAAGGGCATGTACTCGATGAAGCGCACGTCCAGTGGGAGCCCCTCACTGAGGGCCACAAAATCCAGCAGCTCATCTTCATTCAGGCCACGCATCACCACACAGTTCACCTGGCCAGGAAGGGGCGGCACACTGACACTCAATATTATCCAAGCCAACCCCCAACCCAAGCAGCCCCAAACACAACAGTCCCCTGGCGATCCTGATAGCTCCCAGCACTTTTCATTGTCTTTCTCCCTCCTTATCATTTCTTTTTGTGTCCCCCTCCCTCTTTTCTTGATGCCTTCTGGGGTTGGTAATGTCAGATGAATGGGACTAGAAGAGATGAAGGACAGGGTTGGGAGCTAAGAGAACGTACACCTGGAAGGTCATCTATGGGCCAGGGAGCTGATGTGAAAAAAAGGGGCCAGTGGGGAAGGGAAGCAAATGGGATAAGGAATTAACAGCAAACAAATACCTCCTCACCTTGACAGGGTCAAAACCCAACTCAATGGCCTTATGGATGCCTTCCATAACTTTGTGAAAGCCTGTATGGGGAAGAAGGGGGATGAGATGGGGGGTTAAAGCTTCTTTACCCTCATACACCCCTGGGCAGTTGTGATGGTGGTGATCGTTATTGTTCTACACTCAATTGTCTCTTTGGTGTTTCTTTCCAATATGCAAATTCACAGCAGAATCAGTAACCAGGCCCAAACTCCATGGAGAAGCCCAATCTGCTATGTACAAATCCTACAGGGAATTCCAAAGCCAAACAGAATTCCCTTTGGTTATTCCAGTGTTCTGGATTATCCTGCTAAGGACTGTCACTACAATTTATGAGTGGGTAATGGAAAATATTACAAAGTGTCCTGGGGCTCCAAGAGATTAAGTGACTTACCCAGGGTCACACAGCCAGTATATGTCAGAAACAGGACTGAAACTCAGGTCTTCCCAACTCCAAACTCTACTTTTTATCCACTACATCAGAGGGGTCAGACTCACTGTGCAAAACCTCCCCAGTGCTGCCTGAACCAGATTAAAATGAAATTGGGAAATGTTTAACAAAATAAATAAAAATACAACACAACAGATATAATGTTACTTGGTGGTTTTCTAAGTTAATACAGTGGATACCACCATACCACATTGCTTCTCAGTTTTCTTAGAGAAGCAATTCAATATGAGTATATATTGCAAAGCAGGGGCCATTTTGCACTGGAGGAGGAAATTTCGTTATTAAGAGTTCTTTCATTTAAAGCATTAGGACTCCCCTATACTGTTGAAATCGCAATCTGGCTTTAAAAAACAAAGTAATATTATCAGTCATCTTGCCATTTGGTCCCCTGATCACTTACTTCCGACCTCTGGAATCTCTCAAAATTTTCCTTATCACTTTAGCACAAAATCTCCACTCATACTACCATCGCCACCTAATTCAGAACATCCTGCAAAGTGTGATGCTTGAATAATGTTTCTGACACACAGCTCCAATCCCCTTCACTCATGGTTAAAAACTTTCAATGGCTCCTATTGCCTGCAACACACACACACACACACACACACACACACACACACACTCCCTCTCACATACACTCTCTCTCATACACATACACACATTCTCACACACATGCTCTCTCTCACACACACACATACATACATACACACACACACACTCCCTCTCACATACACACACACACATTCTCACACACACGCTCTCTCACACACACACACATACATACATACATACATACACACACACACACACACACACACACACACACATTCACACTCACAATTCCTCCCCTGGCAGCTAAGACCCTTCACACTCGACTCAACCATCCTTCTCTGATTTTTTTCAGACTTCCTCTTCTTTGTACACTCCAGGTACCAGACTAACCCAAATTGTTTCCTGATCTCTTACCGTTCCCTCCTTCCTCCTTGCATGAGCCATGTTCCCTTTGTGTGGGATACCCTCCCTCTTCAGGGACATCCTTTTCTTTAGGAACTCCACAAAGCCTTCTCTAATCCATTATGACTTAGTGATTCATTTTCTTCTTTCCTCTGAGTGAGAAGAAGCCTGGCATGGTGGATAAAGAGCTGGCCTTGGAGCCCAAAAGACCTGAGTTCAAGTTCCATCTTGGACACATAGTGGATGTATGCTCTACTCAATGAATCTATCTTGAAGAGATAGACTCTGGAAGACTCTGGAAGAGTCTATCCAGGGGTGGGAAGCTGAGGCCATGTGGCCCTCTAGGTCCAAACTTCACAGAACAAATCCTTTAATAAAAGTCAAAAGGCCGCATTTGGGGACCTAGAAGGCCATGTGTGCTTCAAGGCCGTACCTTCCCCAGCTCTAGTTCCTTGTACTATTGAAATCACAGGACCAGTTCCTATCCCTGAGTTCCTTTAGTGCTTATTTTCTCTTAAGGTACTTACAAATAACAACAGTATAACACAGAATGCAAGTGCGAGGGAGCTAAGTATAATGGAAAGAACACTGGACTGGAATGCCAGACTCCCAGTCTGTACCCCTAGCTCTGTATGACCCTTGGCAAGTTATTTCTCCTTTTATTTCTTCAAATGTGAGGTGAAGGTTTGGGACTAAAGTTGGTTCCTACTCTGAAATTCTGTGACTGTGTTTCAATCTCCCCTGCTAGACTATTAAGCTTTTTGCAGGCAGGGACAAGGTCTTGTTCATCTTTGTGCATGGCAAGGAATACACAGTAAGCACTCAAGTAATACTTAAGTGAATTTAAATGATTTTTTAGAAGCATTCAGTAAGGCTTGAGCTGACTCTGACCTGGGAAATCTCAGGTCAGTTTCCTCTTTCTTCTTACCCCTACATCTTTAACATTTCAACATGTCCTTGATTGACTCCGGGATAAGAGGAATGACAGGGACAATGGAAGATGACCAGTTCAACCTCACCACCAACCCTGGCTAAGAAACCAATATGGATTGGCTCCATATTACCTCCACTTGAACCCATCCATTCCCTAGTAGTGGTGCCGCCCTCCCATAGATCTGCTCTGGTCACCTTTCCTACGAGCGATGAACTCAAACTTTGCCGGCACTAGGCTGTCTAGGCTGATGTTGATGGCATTGAGCCCAGCTCCCTGGAGCCGAGGTAGCAGCCGGGCGAGGTTGATCCCATTGGTGGTGATGGCAATGGTCTTCAGGCCATCCAGCTGTTGAAGTTGAGCTGTGGGGTGAATAGGAAAGAGGTAATGAAGGAATCAAATTCTGACTAGTTTGTGTTCCCCAAAGGAAGGTGAAACTTTTGGCCAAAAGAAGACTTTTCAACCCTCTTTGGATCTTTATTATTCAGGCTGTTCCTGGGACCTTAGATTACATGGATGGAACTGTTAATTAGGGTTGAGGTCAGATGCCACAAAACTCACCATATGCAATAACTAGACTTTTTTTTTTTAACCAATATGGTGATTTTCAACATGGACCCCTCCACCCTGGCTTCCCCCTCCCACTCCCACTCTCCACCTTACTCATTTGCTCGTGAGCATTTTCAGTTCAGCTCTATGCTTGAACTTGAGCCCAGAACCAATGAAGAAATCAGGCAAGTGCGACCATGAAACCAGGCAGCGGGCCTACAGTGAGATGCAGAATTGGTTCAGTTTCACTGTGTGGTTTCCCCCTTGCCAGGAGGAGGGAAGGATTTTCAGTGTTTGCTAAAGGAGATACTGGCTAGTTGTATGGGTGGATGAGTGCAGGAGGTAGTGGAGGCAAGGAACAGTGGCAACTTTCATAGTATCATAAGATTCAGAGCTAAAAGGAACCACGCCAGTCATTTAGACCAGAGGTGTCAAACAGGCAGCAGAATCCACATGAGGCTGAACCAGATCAAAACGTAACTGGGGAATATTTCACAAAATAAATTAAAATACAACAGAACGTAGATGACATTAACAAGTGATTTTCTAAGTCAATATGCAGCCCACAGAGATCCTGATGAACAGTTTAGTGTCCACATTTCTATTGGAGCTCGACGCCAGTAAGCCGGACCAACTCCTCCATTTTAAAAGGTCCAGAGCTGGGCAGGGATTTAGTGAAGATTACACAGCTAGAAAAGCTACACAGCTGGGATTGAGACTGATCGTTTCATTACAAGGTTTGTCCCCCTTCCCCAAGCCTATTTCTCACCCTCAGGCTTGACCTAATACAGCTGTTTTTCACTGAAGAAATATTTATTAAGCAACAATATGACAGCGTGAAGCCAAGCTCAGAGTTAAAATTTGGCCTTAGACACTTACTAGCTGTGTGACCCTGGGCAAGTCACTTAACCCTGTTTGCCTCAGTCTCCTCATCTGTCAAATGAGCTGGAGAAGGAAATGGCAAACCATTCCAGCATCTTAGCCAAGAAAACCACAAATGGGGAGTTGAATAGCGCAGTGGATAGAATACTGGGCTTGGAATCAGGAAGACCCATTTTCCTAAGTTCAAATCTGGCCTTAGACACTTCCTAGCTGTGTGACCCTGGGCAAATCACTTAACCCTGTTTGTCTCAATTTCCTCATCTATAAAATGAGTTAGAGAAGAAAACAGCAAACCATTCCAGTATCTCTGCCAAGAAAACCCCAAATGGGGTCTCAAAAAAAGTCGTACATCACTGAAACAGCTGAATAACAATAACAAAACAATATAAGGCTAAGATAAGATTATATCTTAGAGGGGAAAGTGTGTATCAACAACTGTCACAAAATGTAAGAGATCACAGTTACACTGTTTTTAAAACCTCTCCCAGGGAGGGAGGTGCTTTACCTGCCATCCTCCTACCCAGAGGCTTGGAGACTGATCCACCCAGCTAGCTTTTGAGGCCAAATCACAATCAGGGCTCTAGCTACCGATGCTATGTAGCCCAACCCCTCTCATATCTATGACCGACCACCCATAGCCCATCATTTCTGTAAAGAGAGCTGCAGCATACTGGCAAGAGCCCTAGGTCTGAGGGAGTCCTGGCCCCATTACTAACTTACTGTGTGACCCCAAGCAAGTCCCTTCACCTCTCTGTGACTCATTTTCTTCCTTAATAAAATAAGGATAGTGATACCTTACTTGCTGCTTCCTAAGGTTGGTGTGAGGATCTGAAGAAACAATGAAGTGAAAGTACTTAGTTGACTATATCTTGCCAACTGTTATCACTATCTCTAATCCAAATCCCCACCTACACTGTCTCCAGAAAGATAATGGTAGGGACTTGGCTGAGGTGGGGTGAGGGACCTGAGAGGAGGGAGATGAGGAGGAAGCTGGCAACAAGCAGAGTTTATGGGGTTCAGGGTAAGTCTGAGAATACAGCCTGACCCCCAAAGCAACACCCAGGAGAGCCCTGCTCCCCCAAGGAGACCATTTTTCTTTGAATGAATGTCCCAATATCCCTGAGAGAGTGCTTTTTTAGGGGGAGGTGGGGAGGAGAGAGAGAACAATAGGGTAATCATAGGATTTATAACTGGAAGGGATCTTACACATGAACCAGGCCAAGTCTCTCATTTTATAGATGAGGAAATTGAGGCCCAGAGAAGGGAAATTAATTGCCCAAGGTCACAATGTGATAAGTAGCAGAACCAGGATTTGAAGCCAAGCTCACTCCGAATCTAGGGCTCTTGCCATACAATCACACACTCATACAAGAAGTGCCTGGAAGCAGGAAGGCTGGATTGAAACGCTATCAGGATTTGGCTTTAAAAAGTGGGGCAGAGCTCAGGGTGGGCACAGATGAAAAGTCAAGGAGCTGAGTGGTAGGGGAGGGAAAGGGCAGAGGGCAGGGACTGGAAGGAGATGAAGTGGGGCAGGAGCTTCACTTTGGCTGTATGAGCAGCATTCAATGCTGAAAAGCAGTCGTAACAGTACCAGGTGGCTCCTGACAGCAGCAGCTGGAGACTTTAAGCCATAGGACAAGTACGTGGCATATTTTACAGACACCTCCGGAAAGTCAAGGACCAGAAAGTGCTAGATTTAGCCCAGATATCCATCACACCCAATTGGAGTGAGAAAGGAGGGAAGGAGGTAGCAGGGACAGAGGGTGAAAGTTCCAGATTCAGCCAGGACTCACCCACAATATCTACCACGTCAGGTCTGATGAGAGGCTCCCCACCCGTGAGTCGGATCTTGTCCACCCCTTCCTTCACAAAGAGCCGGGAAAGGGTCAGAATCTCCCTTGTGGTCAACAGGTCAGCCTTGGGAGTTAGCGGGACGCCCTCCTCAGGCATACAGTACTGACCTGGGAAGGGGGGTGGTAAGTAGGGAGAGTAGTCAGGTCTAAGGCTCCCTCAAAGAGCAGTCTTCTGTTTCCTCCAAGTCTTATCCTCCCCTAACTACAACATACAGTCACATCCTCACCCTAAACACAGCTACAACCCTGACCCAAGCCTAATCCAGACCTGACCCTAACACCCAACTGAAATCTTAATCTTTTTTTTATCCTGAACTTAATAAAACAAGCATTTCCATAACATAGTAGAATAGAAAAAAGATGATTGCACATGAAACTGCAAATCTATTATGTATAACTTGCTAGTCCTTTTATAAATATAATAAAGTTATAGTGTAACTTTCTTTTTTTCCTTTTTTTCTCCCCCCTTCCCCTCCCCAGACGGCTACTATTAGACACAGCCTAAATCTTAATCTTAAAAATCCAGTCTACTCCTTGTCTTAGCCCTAACTCAATCCTAAATTTCATCCCTTGTGTTGAAATGCTGATTATTGGAGTAGGTAAGTATGGAAGCTCCATGTCCATAGTGGACAGTAAAAAGAACAGCCACGAACTCTTCTCTGAGTGGTTGGAAGGCTTCCTAGAGGAAGTGAGATCTGGGAGTCATTTAATTAATGGGGCAGATGTTCGGCTGGCTAGGATGGCAGCAGTGGAGAGCCAAAATTGTATCAATGCGGGGGAAAAGGAGAATACCAACTTACAACGAAGGTTACATTTCTCAGTGAGGGAAATGCGCAGGTAGTTATGTTTTCTGCCAAAGCTGTCAGTGAGGAAAGCAGAGAAGGGGGCAGCATGATCTCGTAGGAACTCCCTCCTCTTGGCTGGGGATAACACCTGCAGAGATAAACCTTGTTATTATTTATTAAGCACTTAGTATGTGCCAGGATCTGTGCTAAGAAGCACTGAGGAATACAAAGAAAGATAAAGAAGGGTTAGGGTAAAGAAGAGAAAACCTCTCCTAGAATGATTAATGAAGAAGTTGATCAGAAACCAATCAAAAATTGGGACACGAATGCATTGTTGCTGGAGTTGTGAACTGATCCAACCGTTCTGAAGAGCAATTTGGAACTATGCCTAAAGGGCTATAAAATTGTGTATACCCTTTGACCTAGCACTAGGTCTGTATCCCAAAGACATCATAAAAAAAGGAAAAAGGACCTACCTGTACAACAATATTTGTGGCAGCTCTTTTTTTTTGTGGTAGCAAAGAATTGGAAATTGAGGGGATGCCTCCCCAACTAGGGAATGGCTGAACAAGTTGTGGTATATGAATGTAATGGAATACTATTGTGCTATGAGAAATGATGAGCAGGAGGATTTCAGAAAAAACTGGAAAGACTTACATGAATTGGTGCTGAGTGAAGTGAGCAGAACCACGAGGACATTTTACACAGTAATTGTAACACTGTGCAATGATCAACTATGATGGACTTAGCTCTTCTCAGCAATACAATGATCCAAGACAATTCCAAAAGACTCATAATGGAAAATGCTATCCACATAGAGGGAAAAAACTGATGGCATCTGAACACAGATCAAAGCGTACTATTTTCACCTTTTTTTGTTTGTTTTGTGTTTTTTTTTCATTTTATTCTGTTTCTTCTCTCACAACATGATTGATGTTGAAATATGTTTTACATGATTGTATTTCAGATTGCTTGCTGTCTTGGGGAGGGGGAGGGGAGGGAAGGAACTCAAAATCTTTCCAAAAAATGCATGTAATTGAGTACATAAAGAAAGGCAAAAACAACCCCTGCCCTCAAGGAGGTTATATTCTAATGATGTAGACAACATGTAAATAAATATGAACATGCAAAAACATAGAGTAAGTAGAAGGGCAGCTAGGTGGCCCCACAGTGTACAGAGTGCTGGGCCTGGAGTCAGAAAGACTCATCTTCTGAGTTCGAATCTGACCTCAGACATTTAGTAGCTGTGTGACCCTGGGCAAGTCATTTAACCCTGTTTGCCTCAGTTTCCTCATCTGTAAAAATGAGCTGGAGTAAGGAATGGCAGACCACTCTGGCATCTTTGCCAAAAGAACCCCAAATGGGGTCATGAAGAGTCAGACACGACTAAAATAATGAACAATAATGGAGAAAAGTAAAAGGCAATCTTAGAGGGGAAGGCACTTTATCGTCCCTTACAGGTGGCAAATGCCACTGACTTGTCCAAGTACTTTCCCATTTATGGTCTCATGCTGACCGGGTAGGGTTAGGGATCAAGGATCATTCTCCCTATTTTACAGAGTAGAGAACTGAAACCCAGAGCTCAGGTCACAAACTGAGTCAGTCCTTCTCCATCCCACATTTTTCTGGTCCATAGGAGTAGGAGGCTCAAGTTTTCAGAGTATAATGGAAAGATTATAAGATTTGGGGTCAAGAGACATTGTGAACATGAGATAATGTGACCAGAGATTTAGAGCCAGAAGGGAACTTGAAAACTAGATAACCTAACACCTTCATTTTATTGATGAGGAACTGAGGGCAAAGGAGGTTAGATGCCTTACCCGAGGTCATATAGGTAATAAAGAGCAGGCAGGATTTGAAGTTAGCTCCTATGACTGCAAAGCTGGTGTTCTTTCCACTGTATGCTGTGGGACCATGGGCAACTCACTTAACCTCCCTGGGCCTCAAGTTACTCATATATTAAGAGAAAATGTTAATACACTACTGACCTCACAAGAGTGTGTGTGAGAAAAGTGTTTTACAAGTTCCAATTAACCAAAACAAAACTAGGGGGTTAGACTACATAAGTGCTAAGATATGCTATGAGGTTAAATAATTTATTATTTTTGCAATTAAATGAATCCCTGAAGAATCTATAATTTCACCAGCATAGGAACTTCCAGTATGGAAATTCTCTCCACCAATCCAGATTGCAACCAGACTATGATTCATCTACTTACGTCATAAATAGTTGCCTGACACGCTGAGAGATCATGTGATTTCACTCAGTAACTATTAATGGTAGGATGTGACACTGGGTCATAGGCTCATAGATCCAGAGTAGACCTCAGAAGCCTACATGTAGTCTAACCCCATCATTTCACAAATGAAGAAACTGAGGTCCAGGGGTTGAAGCGATTTGCCCAAGAACACACAAAGAGCTTAACATTCAGAAGCAGCATTTGAACTCAGGTCCTCCTGACTCCAGGGCTGGTGTCAAGTTCTAATTGGTGAGTGTCCCATGTGTGGCCATGGGTGGCTGCTCTAGCCATGCTTCACTTGACTCCCCCGCCTGCCATCTTCTCAATACCACCTGGATCAAATCAATACCACCACTGCTCCTGGAAAGGGTGTCCAAATCTACTCCCTTGTGGCTCTACTTACTTTCCCTGTAACCAGGGGTGTGCTGTAGCTTGATTGTTAAATTTTCAGTGAAAGCATTTATAACTTAGGCTACAAATCAAGGCTTGAATTATTGTTTTGTTGAAAGTCTAGGCTCAAGAAAGTAATAGGAAAAGGTTAGTAATTTGGATTAAACTTAAAAGTTTATTTTGCTTACATTTTTTCCCAGAAAGCCAGTTGTTAAACATTTACCAACACAACCCCTGCTTGTAAGGGGCAGCTAGGTGCTACAGTGGATAGAGTACCAGGGCTGGAGTCAGGGAGACCTAAGTTCAAATCTGGCCTCAGACACTTACTAGCTGTGTGACCCTGGGCAAGTCACTTAACCCTGTTTGCCTCAGTTTCCTCATCTATAAAATGGGCTGGAGAAGGAAATGGCAAACCACTCCAGTATCTCTGCCAAGAAAACCCTAAACGGGGTCATGAAGAGTCAGACCAACTGAAACCATTATTGTTATTGTTTGTCCTTTGCTCTCGAAGGGGGCCAGTCTGCTTGCTTGGAACTTACATCCTAGGGGAAGAGATAACACATATGGGGAAATGGTGGCCTGGAAACGGAGTTTTGGTATGAAATGAATGAATAACACCAACAATCCCTGCCTAGTACTTTCCAAGATAAAATTCCCCTCCCTAGCCATGGCTCTCCTATAGGTGCTGAATCCTCCTGGCAGAATTTAAGTTCTTTGAGGGTAGGGGCTGGTTTGCTTTTCTATCTATATCCCCCAGGCTTAGCAAGATGCTTAGCACATAGTAAGCGCTGATAAGTGCTTTTTCATTCATCCACTCAAAATCTGTCTAATCTCACACAACTCAGCTGAATATACTCCACATTTTGGCTAAACTAGACTGCTCTTCATTCCCCATTAAAGTCTTTGCTTTCATTCTGCCACATCTGGAATGGATTCCTGGTTGTTTCCATCTGTTTAAATATCTCCCTCTACAGGCCAACTCAGACGCCACTTCTTCTGGGTAGCCTTCCAATCCCATCCCCATCCCCACGCCCACTTGAAAGCAATCTCTTCTTTCTCCAATGCCTCGTGGTACTTTTCCTGGACTTCTCCTTTGAATTTCTCTTTCCCTCACCCTTACGTTATAGTTAATTGTGTCTCTCTTTTTCATTTAAAGCTAATAATCATATCCTTGAAAGCAGAGTCTGTGGAATCATAACATTAGACTCCTTACACTCTTGGACCCAATGGTCTCACTACTAGAAATATATGCACCCCAAAGAGGTCATTAACAAGAAAACAAGGCTTAATCTATACTAAGATATTCCTAGCAGTACCATTTGTAAAAGCAAAAAAAAAAAAAAGATAGAAACAAACTAGGTGCCCACTGATTAGAGACTGGTTGAAAAAAATTGTTCCATGAATATAAAGGAATATTATTGGTGTTGTTCAGTCCTTTCAGTTTTAACGACTCTTTATGACCCCATTTGGGATTTTCTTGGCAAAGATACTGGAATGGTTTGCCATTGCCTTCTCCAGCCCATTTTACAGATGAGAAAACTGAGATAAACAGGGTTAAGTGACTTGCCCAAGGTCACACAGTTACTAAATGCCTAAGGCCAGATTTGGACTCCAGGAAGATAAAGTCAACCCTGATTCCAGGGCCAGCACTCTATCCACCGCACCACCTAGCTGCCCAATGGAATATTAATATACAATAAAAAACAACAGCCGCTAGATTTAGTGGATAAAGAGCTGGTAATGTTGGCAGGAAGTCCTGTTTCTGACACATCCTGGCTGTGAGATGTCCTCCTGCCTCCAGGCCAGGCATTCTATCTACTGAGCCACCTAGCTACCCAAGTTCCCAGTGGGGGAGGAAAAAAAAATTCCCACTATCAATGCACATCAGTAAACTACTGTGCAATTTATCATCGCCTATACCTTCTCAGTGCCTCAGGTAACTCATTACGATGACAGGTTGAGTAGTGGCTAGAGTGCCTGGCCTAGAGTCAGGAAGACTCTCCTTCCTGAGTTCAAATCCAGCATCAGACATTTACTAGCTGTGTAACTCTCGGCAAGTCACTTCACCCTGTTTGCCTCAGTTTCTTTATCTGTCAAAATGAGTTGGAGAAGGAAATGGCAAATCCCTCCAGTATTGTGGCCAAGAAAACCCCAAATGGGGTCACAAAGAGCCAGACACAAGTGAAGAAATGGAAGAATAACAATACTGGGAACCAGACCACAGGTCCATGGAACATTCTTTTTTTTTCAAAGAACTAATTAGTATGAAGAATTTACAGAAATACAGCAAGGCTTACATAACATGATTCCAAGCAAAGAAAGCAGAGCCAAAAGAACAAAACATGTGAAGGCACCTATAATCACACAAAGTCAATAGTAATAGCAACAAAAGTCATGCTATATAACCAGAACAGTTGAACAGGATCAAAAATACAAGGTCAGCTTGATGCTGCTATTTAAAGTCAACATCACCCATCTTTCAAATTGAGTCAACAATTAATAAATAACAAGTTATGGA